CATTCATTTTTGTTTTTTATTTAAGTTACCTACTTTGCTTGCTTGTTGTTTACATGGCTAAATTGTTTTAGCTACGTTGCTAATGTTAGCTGTGTTACGTTAGCTACGCTAACAAATGTAAGCAAAGTTTAAGTAGCTAGCTAGCTAACAATGTTAGCCCCCCGAAGAACCTTCCTCTAACATTAACAATCACAAAGGGTGTGTGCCTAAACCTAAGTAACTGATTGTATGCATGTCGACCGGTTAACCCTACAACTGTGCACAGCATGAAATCACACGCGAAAAGCTTAAAATACGTTGACATGGCACAATGTCCTTAAAAGTGGCGTGCTATTTATAGCCCATCCCATGATATCACGTTGGTTGTTACTGTATTATTGCACTGATGTTTTACTGTTTGCTGTTGTCCTTGTTCTGTATATTTTATAATTTTCAAGGTTTCAAAACATCTTGCCGAAGGACTGCAGTTGAAAATTTGCCAGCTGGCAAGCAGTGGCACGTTTACTGTAATGTTGATTAATGTGTGTTATCCTTATAAATACCTACAGTGAGGAAAATAAGTATTTGAACACCCTGCTATTTTGCAAGTTCTCCCACTTAGAAATCATGGAGGGGTCTGAAATTGTCATCGTAGGTGCATGTCCACTGTGAGAGACATAATCTAAAAAAAATAATCCAGAAATCACAATGTATGATTTTTTAACTATTTATTTGTATGATACAGCTGCAAATAAGTATTTGAACACCTGAGAAAATCAATGTTAATATTTGGTACAGTAGCCTTTGTTTGCAATTACAGAGGTCAAACGTTTCCTGTAGTTTTTCCCCAGGTTTGCACACACTGCAGGAGGGATTTTGGCCCACTCCTCCACACAGATCTTCTCTAGATCAGTCAGGTTTCTGGGCTGTCACTGAGAAACACACAGTTTGAGCTCCCTCCAAAGATTCCCTATTGGGTTTAGGTCTGGAGACTGGCTAGGCCACGCCAGAACCTTGATATGCTTCTTACAGAGCCACTGCTTGGTTATCCTGGCTGTATGCTTCGGGTCATTGTCATGTTGGAAGACCCAGCCTCGACCCATCTTCAATGCTCTAACTGAGGGAAGGAGGTTGTTCCCTAAAATCTCACAATACATGGCCCCGGTCATCCTCTCCTTAATACAGTGCAGTCGCCCTGTCCCATGTGCAGAGAAACACCCCCAAAGCATGATGCTCCCACCCCCATGCTTCACAGTAGGGATGGTGTTCTTGGGATGGTACTCATCATTCTTCTTCCTCCAAACACGGTTAGTGTAATTATGACCAAAAAGTTCTATTTTGGTCTCTTTTGACCACATGACTTTCTCCCATGACTCCTCTGGATCATCCAAATGGTCATTGGCAAACTGAAATTAAGAAAGGCTAGCCTTGTGGCCATTGTAGGCAAAAAATTTTACCATCACAATGGTGTTAAAAGTCGCATGCTTCTTGGGACGGACTACAAATCATCAACGTGCACTAACAGAACAGAGCAATTAACGCACTGTGGGAACAAAATCCAAAACAGGTTTAATACCTTCAAGGGCTTCTTGTGTAAGTGGCAGGTCAGCCATGTTCACTGGTGAATGTTTAATGATGGGGTGTGAAGAAGTATGACAGGAACTACCTCAACATTGCATGTGGATCTCTATATAAGAAGAGCAGTCAGCTGCATCTGGGTATGTACCCACTTCTTCGAATCTTTCTATTGTCATTCAGCAGGCTTAGCATGTGGACACAACCTGTCGAGTAACTGTGATTGAAAAAGTAGAAAGAGTTACAAAAACAGTTGCAGCCTCCCTTGTCCAGAAAACATGCTGTAAACACAATCTTTCTACAACCCTGTTTACTAAAAAGTTGGCACGCTGCAAATAGACAGATCGTTGTCAGCTAAGGGCGTCCGAAACCAATGATTTCAGGAGCTCGACAGTCACATCACATAATGTGGCAGGTGCCAGTACTTAACCCCCTCCTCCCCATGCACTATCCACAACCCGGAGGAGTAACTAGTATAAATTAAAGTAAAAAAAGGATAATGTTAGTATAATTTTACATATTGTCAGGTTACACTTGATTTGGATAGTCTGCTTACAGATGGAATATGTAACATTTAGAACAAATGTTTGTAACAGCTCATTAGTTGAGATTCAGCAATTGAAAAGCAACTGTTTCACAAATAAAATGGTTTTCTGATATTACACCACAGTGATTAAAGTTTGATTAGGGCTAATGTTAGCACATGCATTATAATTTCAGATAATAGAATAGATTAGGCTACAAGAAAATAAAATACAGCAGTGGGCTATGACAATTGACAGAAAATATAAAATAAGTACCTGTTAAGTAAATACTTAACAACCACATGCCCTCTTACATAAACCTCAGTATATAAAATATGCAATAATAAATAACACAACTCAGTGCACTTTCAACGTCATTTACCTTCAAACAGAGTTACAATTAATGTAAAACCTGTACCTTTTCTTGAGTAACAAAGTACTATATCACGGTGTGGCTTTATGCGCATTAGCATTACCATGAAATTTAATACAAAGTGGTCGACGATTGGTGCCCAGCACACAATTCCACTAGTGCCTAAATCAAACCATCTTATTAAAATATTTACAGGTGACTTGTACAGGAATATTTTACAAGATATGCATGCGTTTACCAACTACTTTACACAACAGTCACAGCACCATTAACAATGGAAAATTTCCAGGTTGTTCTCACGTAAACAAAAAGAAAGACTATGATACACTTGGCAAAACAACAATACAACTCAGTTTTACTTTAACTTGAACAATATTACCCTCAAAGAAAACAACACATAACATTTTACACAACTTTTAGAACTATGTCAAACCTAAGTGGAAAATCACATGTGAATAGATTTACCACCCAGCTACACTAGTATAAACAAATCACTCCACATTTGCTTTGTTCCATTACATCTTTTCTTGCAGACCAAAATCAACACTTTGACATAATACTGGTGGTACACAGGACAGTAATAATGGATTAGCTGGTGAAGAAACATGTGAAGCCATAACATTACATAACAATAGTACTTCTCAATGGACAATGTCAGCTGATTCGTATTATCCGGCAAGACAAAATCACAATGTATTTCACATGATTCGCAGTGATGTTTGTTAACCTGTCCAATAGGATGAAAGCCAACTCTGGGTCGTTTTTTTTGTATAAAACAAAGCAGAGGTCTTTCCATGACTCAAATGTCTTTTCGAGGTTGACAGTGTTCTCCTTGTTAATCTGATTCTCACTTTTTGTTTTTTAGCCGTACGTGGAGTCTGCGTTCACCTGGGACCCAGTCGTGTTATGTTGTTAGCTGCGGTGTTGTTGCTGTGTGTACGATTCAGGATCAATAGGCGAGGTGCTCCGGAGCGCAGAAAATCTGACCCGATTTCTTTGCACAGAATGCAGCATCATTACAAGGGACCAAGAAAGCAGGCGTGTGGTTCATATTTATGTGTGGTTACAACCTGTTCACAAATAAAATAAAATAAAGAAGTAGATTATTGATAAGTGATTTCCATTTTAAAAACTACATAAAGCCCCTTCAAGTTTTTTGGCTGTCTGACTAAACAATTGCACATTAACACGAAAAACATAGCAGCCCAGCATAAATCTACTTTGATTCAATGTTGTGAAACTATAAAATATGAACACTGGGGGTGAATACTTAGTAGAGTCACTGTCCTGTGTGTGAAAACACTCACCTCCCTGTCATTTAGCCATACATTTGTTATTTTTGGACACTTGTCTGTCTTGTTAAAATAAACATCTGAGCCTTTTACAAAGCCCTGCTGAGAGACATAATTGAAGTGATGGATGCACAGACATTTCTTTAAAATCCCTGACGTCTGGCCTTTATGTTGACTGTGTTTACTGGTTCATCTTGTTCCAAATCAAGTTCATTTGTTCTCAGGAAGCCTGAAGCTGTTTGACCAGTTCATTCCTGAGCAGGCAGCAGGAGTTCTCAGTGACTCGGTACAGCTGTCAGTTTAAATGGATGGAGATAAAAGGTACTTCATCTAAAAGAACAGATTTGTGATGTGTATTTTCTTCATATCCTCATGATGAATCCTATGGAAGAAATGAAACGTGTCATTATTTGTCATTATTTTATAACATCCGTGTATAGGGCCCTAACCAGCAGATTATGTAACAGTTGAAATTAGGTCCACCTCGTCCATCTACAACCTTAAAATGCTTTTTATTTTAAAACATCAATTATTGAAATAATAAAATATTAATAATAAGTACAACCCCATATTTTATGCAACAAAATTATCTGCATAATGAGTAATCACAATAAGTTGTGATAGATGAGCAAAAATACATACGTCACACTTGTAAGATGACAGGGGGTCGAGGTCTAACTACTGTATGTACAGTTAATGGTAGTTAGTTTAGTTCAGTGGTTTCCAACCGAGGGGTCAGGACCCTCCAAAGAGTCACCAGATAAATCAGAGGCGTCATGAGTTTATTAATGAGAGAGGAAAGAGGTTTTTTTTCTCTCATTTTTGACTTGAAGTGGATAATTGGACCAAAGTTTAGAGAGGAAATGTCTCGTGGAAGGGGTCAAAAGACAAAAAGGATAAATCTGTACCAACAAATTATATTTTTAAACTTTATCATGTTTGTTTTTAATGTAATGTAATTTTAATCTAAAAAGTTACTAGTTACTACAGGTGTTGAATAAATGTAAGAAGTACAAAAAGGTAATGATCCCTGTAAAATGTAGTACATTTGGAGTGGAATGTTTAAGATAGTATCAAATGGAAATACTCAAGTGAAGTGCCCAAATATTGTACTTTAGAAAAGTACTTGAGTAAATGTATTTTCCTTATAGAGATAGTGACACGTGTTGGGAGTGTCATTGGACAGGTGTGTTGGTGGTAGACGGAAGAGGAGGGAAGAAAAGAGAAGGAGGGGAGAAGAAGGTTATTTATGTTGATGCAGATCTGATGATATGGACTTGCAGTTATGGCTTTCTACAAAGTGATCTGTGTGGCAGCTCTGCTGACTCTCCTGACACAAGGTAAAGACACTCCTCCCTGTGCACACCTGAACCAATCACGTTCAATCATGTTTGAGATCCAATGACTGCTGTATGAGGAGGATCTTGACTATGCGTCTGTATGGGACGAGCTGGGAGAAAGGGTTGTTTTTATGGTTATAGTTGTGTAATTTGATCCTTAATAAACCAAAAAGAAACTTTCTTATTCGATTCAGTCTGTCCTTGTAGTAAAAGGTTTTGTAAGCTTACAAATTAAGAAATATTTGTGGATTTAGTTTAAGCGATTTAAGGAAATTTCTCTTTTCTATTCAGGGGTATGTGAGTAGATTAGAGAGACAGAAAGATCACAGCAACTTTAAACTGTTTGAAGGAATGTTTTTACGTCACTATACCAACACCATGTGTACTATAACTTTTCCCCATCATGGTGGAGATGTGTACAGTAAATGGGTTTCAGGTTAACATCTTGTTGCCACACCTTGTTGTTATTACCCTGATTGCAAAACTGATTCTGATGAAAAACTTTAAGAAGAAGGAAAGAGAAGAAGAACATCTGTTCACTCAACAGTTAGTCATCCAGGAGTGAGAAAATAACAACTCAGTCAGGGTGATTTCTTTAGATCAGAGCTTGCAAATCTCTGATGAACATTAACATTTACCAAAATCATTTAACCCAAACCTAACAGATGTAGGGTAATGTATTATACACATAGATGTTCTTTACTTTTCATATAATATGCAAATGTATAGTTTTCATTTGATGCACATTTTGTATTTCATATAAATAATACTTTTGAGTAAGTGTTTTTAATAAATTTACAGGGGATCATACAGCTAATAAATGAATGTCTTGATGACTTTAATGTATTGTAACGTTAAAGGCAAATTAGTTCTTGCTGTTATAAAGACCATTCAGGTCCCACATATTAGCTTCATCTATACTTAACATTTTAAGCCAAAACAGAAATCATTTACATATTTAGAGACCAAAAGAAATCTGGTTTTGATGGGTAAAATCTAAATAACAGACACTAAAATCATCAATGCCAGTAAATAATAATCAAAAACATGTAATTGATTTTTTGTTTTTGTTTTTTACAGTAAAGAGAAGACAGAAAATAAAATCAGACTCAAAACAGGGATGGGACAGTGATGCGTTATGGTTGTACACACCGTACTGCATGGTAGCGTCATGGTTGTTTATAAAACAACAACATTCTACAATAGTTTTCACAGGAGTACCACTCTTCATAAAGAGTAAACTGACCTTCATGTGTAAAATCAGTGGAGGGCCCCTTTAACTTCTGCTGCTGTCATGTTTTTGTGACATTAAGGCATCATCAGGGACTGGAGCAATAACAGTAGTAACAGTGAGGAAACTTATTAGTGGCAGCAATAAGATAAGCAGCAGCAGAACAAGATACGTTCATTTCAGCCTGTCCTCACTAGAAAAAATAGCCATAAAGGCCGATTGTTCAAGCAGCTGATTAAGACCCATATTTACAGTTATAGTTAGGCTGCGACCTCTAGTGGTCATAAGACGTAGCAAAGAAGGAAGTCAGCTGACACTCAAATGTTGGTGACTGAAACCTTTAGTGGTCTTAATGATCCTCTTATGTTAACTGAGTGGACATGGTTAAAAGTGTGTCACTTAACAAAAATCAAAAATATTTACTTAATAAATAAATTACAGATAACAGAATAACAGATGATCACAAAATTACAACCATGTAAATATCATATGTCAATGTGGAATTAGCCATATCAGTAAATATAAATACAATACTGTTGTTTCATAAGTGTTTTAGTTTTTTTTTATTGTTTGTTTTCTATTTTCAGAGTGTCACTCACAACTAAGCGGTAAGTTTCCTGTTCATCTGTCTTTTGGGACATTTTTAACACGTTTTTGGGATGTAAATGTTTATAGTTTCATTATTGTTAGTATTTGCTGTCAACCCCGTATTGCGCACTCTGTGTCTTTATTGTATTCAGTGTGTGGACAGCCAAAGCTCAACACCAAGATTGTTGGAGGACAGGTGGCCTCTGCAGGCAGCTGGCCCTGGCAGGCCAGTCTGCGAAACTCTGGGTCCCACTTCTGTGGAGGATCCCTCATTAACAATCAATGGGTGCTGACTGCTGCTCACTGCTTCTACAGGTAAGCAGTGAGGGTCGGTACGCGACAGACAATAACATCGTTATACAAAACAGGGCTGGAAACGTGCGTATGCCACTTCCCAAGCAAAGGTTGTGATCTATAAAAAACAAACAAAGAATGTGTGGTTGAACCATGTGTTCCCACATAAATAGGAGGAAAGAGAAACAGCGACTCACATGGCAGAAGGATGAAACGGTTTTAAATTAATAGGATAAGAAACACAAATGAAGATATCTCTTTCTACAAAAGAACCCCTCAAATATGTTGTACAGTTTAATTAGGAATCATATTAATTAATACTTGCATGCAGCTGAATTTATTCTCATAAATAAGGTGAACAGGAGGACGAATTACATTTAAATTGGTACTGTTTTCAGTGTGTCAGTCGAGAAAAATACGAGAGCATAGATTCATAAACTGTTTTCAGATGTTAGTTGCCTTTGTAAGCTAAACGCTGTGATGCGCTGCTTGTAAATACCTGTTATGGAAATATAACACTATTTTATTTTCATTTACAACAAGTTATATTTCTTTTAACTCATTGGCAGCCTCGTTAAGTTTGTATAGGGGAGACCGGGTATGGTTGTAACATAGGGAGAGTTGTAACAACACCAATTCCACCAATTAGAGATAAGATGGAGTTAGGTGATCATTTCAGTATTTACCTTCTTCCTCCACCATCAGGCATGGTGGTTATCAAGTCTGGAAACAGGTATATTCAGAATATATAGAGAAAAAAAATGATTTTGAGGTCAGAAGTATATTTTTTGACCAAGACTTTATTTTGTTTATTATCTATACTGTTGCAGATAAAATAGTTTGACTTATATTATATTGAAATATAGTTTCTTAGGCAACATGTGATGCATTTTTTTCCTTTCTAATTTTAAACCACTATGCTAAAACAGCTAGCTAAACATTGGCTGACAGGGGTGGCGTGGGTTGTAACACTTCTTCAAAAAGGGTTACAACCATTGCCTATTTTTTTTTATTTAACCTTTATTTAACCAGATGATCGCATTGAGATTTAAAACCTCTTTTTCAAGAGAGACCTGGCCAAAATGGCCGTATATTAACAGTGCACAAATATCAACACCAAGCACACGCACAACAAGGAACATTTAACAAGACCCTTAAGATACATAAACAAACAACATTCGACTTCTTAAAAATACAATTTATACATACCATAGGTTTAAAGGATTTAGTTATTTTAAAAGCAGTGACAACAATTTATGGCATCTATTTCCAAGTCTTTCATGCAGTGTTTAAATTCACCAAAAGAAACAAGATTTCGCAACTGCAAATCAGTCTGCATTGTGTTCCAGGTGGATGGCGCTGCATAATTAAAGGCCTTCAAACCAAACTCTGTACAGACCGTAGATACAGATAACAAATACAAGTTACCAGAGTGCAAATTATAGGAACTGATGTTGCGTGATACATAAGTGCAGAGATAAGAGGGAAGCATTTCCAGCATAGACTTGTAAATAAAAGTAAGCCAATGTATGTGCCTCCTCACTGATAATGAGGGCCAGTTTGTCATTTTGTACAAGGTACAATGAACCACAGCCGCCCTTATATAAATTCACAATATAAAAATATACAACAACAAAGATTAACAATTAACAACAAATATGTGCAATGTGCCAGGTTTGTGCATGATATGAATGAAATAGTATTTACATGTGCAGAGACATACAGTATGTATTATTTGGGGGGGTCATTGGGGGACCTGGACCTTGTTGATGAGTCTAGCTGCAGACGGGTAGAAGCTGTTTTTGTGGCAAGATGTTTTGGTCCTGATGGACCGCAGCCTCCTGCCAGAGGGGAGAGTCTGAAACAGTTTGTGTCCGGGGTGGGAGGAGTCAGCTGCAATCTTTCCTGCTCGCCTCAGAGTCCTGGAGGCGTACAGGTCCAGAAGAGAAGGAAGATTGCAGCCAATCACCTTCTCTGCAGGGTGAATGATGCGCTGCAGCCTGCCCTTGTCCCTGGCAGTGGCAGCAGAGTACCAGATGGTGATGGAGGAGGTGAGGATGGACTCAATGATGGCGGTGTAGAAGTGCACCATCATTATCTTTGGCAGGCTGAGCTTCTTCAGCTGCTTCTTGGTGAGGGAGGTGATGTCCAGCTCCCACTTGAGGTCCTGGGAGATGATGGTGCCCAGGAAGCGGAAGGAGTCCACAGTGGTGACTGGAGAGTTACACAGGATGATGGGGGAGGGTGGCGCTGGGCTCTTCCTGAAGTCTGTGACCATCTCCACTGTCTTCAGAGCGTTGAGCTCCAGACTGTTCTGGCTGCACCAGGTCACCAATAAAAGTATAAAAGGAGAAGAGAAGGGGGAAAGGCCTTTTCACACACAAAGCAATTTACGTGCCTTGTAATTTCATTGCGACAGGCATAGCAACAAGCAGGCATGCTTCCTTGAAACTGTCCCTGTTGTGCTCGTCTCACGCACACGCCCGCCCCTACCAAAGTTGAATTGACTTGAACTTTCTCTACGCGATGCGCAGCTCAAAAAGAATATGGATGAGAGACTAATCCTCGCCATCTGTTACTTCCCTGAAAGTGTTCAGTGTTCACTGAACAGTTATCGGGACATTAACATGAGGGCGTTTGCATGACTAGATTTATTCTTATCGCAGCTCCTTGCTAAACCTGTACTTTAATGCCCTGCGCCCTGCGCCCTGAGTCCCCGGCTCCTGAATGCCTCCTCCTTTTCCGACCTTAGCTGTTTGAGTTTGGCTGTTTTTCATTGTTATAACTCACCCTGGTGCATGTTGGTATGCAGGTGTCCTCACAGAAGCTGATGTAGGACGTCACAGCCCCTGGAAACTCATCCAGATTGTTGGTAGCAGTCCTGAAAACATCCCAGTCAATGCAATCCAAACACGCCTGAAGATCCTCCTCCGCTTCACTGGTCCACTTCTTTCATGTCCTCACTACAGGTTTACAGAGGTTTGGTTTTTGCCTGTAAGCAGGAATCAGGTAGATCATGACGTGATCAGAGTGTCCCAGTGGAGCACGTGTGACGGCGTGATAGGCACAGCTAACTATGGTGTAGCAGTGATCCAAAGTGTTCCCCTCTCTGGTTGGACACTTTAAAAACTGTATTTGGGGAGTTCTTGGCTGAGGTTTTCCTGTGAATGAAGCAAACTCATGGGGGAGTAAAACTTACAGTTTATGATAAGAAATTCCAGATTAGGAGAACATTGCTGGTGAATCACTGTAACGTCGCTACACCAGCCATTGTTAATATAAAAACAGACACCTCCACCTTTTCTTTTGCTGGAGAGCTCTGTGTCACGGTCGGCTCTGATGAGTTGGAAGCCTGCCAGCTGCAGCCACGTCACGTGACACAACCACGTCTCCGTGAAGCACAGAACAAAAGATGAATAAAAGTCTCTGTTTTTCCCCACCAGAAGCTGAAGTTCATCCAGTTTGTTACATAATCTTCCACGTCCGCATCGCGATGCATGTAAGAATCGATTACTTCTCCCACCCCTAGTCAGTATTTGGTTTAAAAAAAAATCAAAGTCATGTATAATTCCATTATTCCACACTCATTACAATTTAATACACTATATATGTTAATTTAACATGTTGTTTGATGGAAATTTGTATTAATTAATGAAAGCAGTATGTCAGAAGCGACATCGTTCAACTGCACTAGACATTATAACATAGTATATGTTTAAGACTAGCCAGTAACAGTTTTAGAGAAGATTTTAAATATTTACAAATAATTAATGGATTAGTACTGATTTTATCTATAATGGCATTGTAAAACTGCTGGCATGCTCCTTTAGGTTCAAGTAGTAAGAATATTTGCTTGATTCATAGAGCAACACCTGGCAGGATCTGAGATTTGCCACAGACCTGATGTTTTAACTAAATAGTCCATCTTGTGTGAAACCATTCTAAACCAAATTTCACTACTTTGTGTTGTTTACTAAACTGAATTTGTGTCTCTTCAGTGTCCCTTCCTTTCCCGGGAAACCTGATGGAGGTGCAGTTGCCGATTGTGGGGAACAGACCGTGTAGCTGTAAGTACGGAGTGGGTTTGATCACAAGCAACATGATGTGCGCTGGGTTAAGTGCTGGAGGGAAGGACTCCTGTCAGGTGATCATGATTTTTATGCCTGTATTTGTGTCATATTTTCAATGAAATCACTTATTAATAAATCACTTTTTTACTATGGGCTCTAACCTCACTTAGAAATGAACCCCATACCTGTTTTGTCTGTTGCTTGCAACAGCCACTATTCTGCTTCTGATGAAGATATTGGGTCGGGATGTAGCCCTGTGTGTGCTCCTGAGCCTGCTGCCAACTACAGCGACAACTCCTCAAAATACAGTCCACTAACACCACAAATCACACTGCCTTATTTTCCAGGATTGTGCCAGTGTCTGCTGTCTGAAAGGCAACATTACGGAGCTGAAAAGGGGGTTTGATTTAATCTGCCTCTGTGCTGTGCTGCTCTGTCTGTCTGAAAAGCCACAGCCGGTATGCCAATGTTTCCGCGTTTATTGTGGTATCTCTGTATAAAAGCGTTTCAGTAGCATGACTGCACCCGGCTGCGCCAACAAAAAGCTGTGTGGAGAGTGTTTGTCTGACTTCAACAACTCAATTAAATTCAAAAAACCTTTATTAATCCCATGACGGGGAAATTCATAGTGTTACAGTAGCAGCAGGGCAAAGTGTGAAAGTATGAGAAGACACACAGGTAACAAACAAATAAATATAAGTAAGGGGAGTAGTTATGATTGTAAAGTCTGTGGTGGTCTCCCACCATCACTGGATTTCCTTATCAGCCTGTCAAGTCTCCTCCTATCTACCACCACAATGCCATTGTCCCAGCAGACCATCCATCCATCTGGAGCCAATCCCAGCTGGCATCGGCCGAAAGGCGGGGTACACAGGTCGCCAGTCCATCGCAGGGCGACACCCACATATAGACAAACAACCAACCTCATCGGCTCATCTGCTGCTGTGAAAATGGAATTGCAGGTGAAAAACCAAACGCGAGTTCTTTTAAATAAAAGTGCTCCCAAATAAAGTCAGAGCAGATAGAGAGAGACAGACAGGTGGAGGTGTGTGTCTGACAGGAAACCAAGGTGAGGAGATTAGTGTAGTTTGTGATTAAACACAAAAAGAAACTGGAGAATTAAGAAGAATTAAGAAGAATTAAAATGGTGTGCAATTTATTTTTATTTTATTTATTTTGAAAATGATAATGTTAGTTTATCATCAATGTTTCATTATGACCAATTTAGACCAGTGAGAACAGCTAACATTTATACTGCTGCTGATAGGGATCCTAATAAAAATAGATTTTTCCAATAAATAGTTACAAAAATGTTTGTGTATGCTGTCAGTTATAATCGGCCAAAATTAGAATCGGCAGGTCAGACCTTTTAAAAAATCAGTAACTGGAATCAGCCAGGAAAAATGTAATCTGTGCATCTCTTACTACAGTGATACTCCTGTGTGTGAACCGATATTTAGGATAATATGGCCGCGTGGTGATCCTATGAACTTAAGTCACACTTAAACAACTATTACTTTGTGTTGTTGGCCAGAAAAATAGTAGTAAGAATTCTCTCTGTGTACACGTATCCTATACAAGTACAATTTTGGCTGTATTATTTGTGTCCCCCTCAAAAATTTCTCTTGAGAAATTTTATGATTATTGTCCCCCCCTACTGTTAGCTGAGATTTATGTCCATGAAATAAGGAAAGGATTGTGACTGCTTGATTGTGATTAAATTAGTACACCTGAAAGTCTCATTTTCCATAGCGTCACTGATGGCTATATGGGTTTTTCACATTCCCTGTTAGCTTCTTATCAAAACAATATGGTTACAGTTCTTATATGCAACAGGATGTCGCATGGTTGCAACGTAATTATTGGGCCTACATGGAACCCTCCATGCAGGTTTTGGTCGGCTTCACTGTTCCCTCTCTCACTTACATCATCATCATCATCATAATGCCCTCGGAGTGCAGTTCCCGACCTCTCTTAAGCCTTGAAGAATAGGTGACCCTGATTGGCAAAGAGGGAAATCCACTAACTGCTCTCAATAATTCTTGAGGAATCAGTCCCCACATCTTGTGTCTCTTATCAACCCAGAGGAATGTCGACACTGAGCCGAATGAATGAATGGGAATAAAGAAAATGAAAGAGCAGCACATACGTATAAATGAAAGGCTGCTATAATAGGTCATCAAAATTAAAGACATACACAGAAAATGTATTTTATGTGTGTCCTTTTCTCCAGTACATAGCCTGCATTAAACAGTTGAACTTCAAAAGTATGAATGCAGCAGCTATAGCCAGTTTATTAGGTCCACCTAACTCAAACTAATGCAGTCTAGTTCAACAGTCCTGCAGTGAATCCTCCTTCATGATAGTTAAGTTCAGTTTGTGTTAAAACTGTTTTACTGACGTGTTGGGGATTGTAGCATGGTATAAAATGCTTCACACTTTAAAATGCTTTCACACTGCCGACATGTTAACGTTATTGTTCGGTAAAATTGAATTGGTCTTTAGAATTATTAGGCCGAACACCAAAAGTGCTATTTTTACCATTTTCGGCCATATGCTCATAGTTTTGCTACAGTTCCTGCAGTGAATATAGTGCAAATTCTCACACTTCCAAAAAGTCATGGACAAAATGTACACATTCACAAATCATTATGTAACTTAATGCAATGGTATTTGCACACCTGTTGAATATTTTCTCACAAATAATTTTTTTCTAGTATAAACACAAGTCACTGCTTGAATCTGTTGCTACGAGTCTCAAATGCTGTTTATTTTGCTCACAACTTTGAGACCACAGCTCTCTGCCACAGCCTTAGCAATGCAAGCTTTCAACAACACACTATGACACTATAACTAACAATATAAAAAAAAGGTTTAAAACCTTCAAGTGCTTTTTGTTTGAGAGGAACCTCAAACAGGTCAGTCCTGTTCACAGGTGAATGTTTACCAATGGGGTGTGAAGAAAACAGGAATAATTTCAACATTCTTTCAACCGGACTGGTGCATATGACTAATGAGGAAGAGAAACAAAACAACCACAGCCTCCCTTTCCAGAAAACATGCGGTGTAAACAATCTTTTTATTTCCTGACTGTCCTCATTCCATAGCTTATTAAAATGCTCACCCTTTCATTCAGAAACACGTGCTGGTTTATTGAGCCCGGCCAAGGAGATATACAGTTCCAGCATACAACATGTGAAGACGTCAAATGCCAACACCAAATCTCATGGTCCCTTTTTTGTTTCTGTCTTCCCCCTAGTGCCTGTAGGTTTTTTCCTCTTTGGTTTTTTTTTTCGATGGCCTTAACCTAGAGCAACAAATCTGTCTAGAAATACCCATCTGACTTTTAGACAATAGTACATCACACTGGAATCTATCCATGAGTTGTAGGCTACTCTAATCTGTGGAATCAGTATGTTTTTGTAAACATTCTTGTAAGACTCAACCTAGATTTCCACAGAACACCAATGTCTGCTAGCGTGACGCTTGAGCTAATGTCTCTACCTTATCGGTGTGACTGTCGTCTCCCTAACAAGAGAAACAACTAGAGGTGGAAGGTCAGTGAGCACTTGTGAGGTCACATGTGGACACAGCCCTTCAAACAGCTCACATTGATAAGGAGAAAGAGAATCAAAACAACCACAGCCTCCCTTTTCCAGTAAACATGCTGTTAAACAATATTTTTATTTCCTGGCTGTCGTCATTCCATAGTTTATCAAGATGTTCACCCTGTTCATCAGAAACGTGCTTTGCAGTGTAATGAGTCTTACCGCATGTGTAAAAATAATAGAAAAAATTATAATCACTGCTTGAATTCACACAAAAACATTAAGCCCCTTATGCCACCCACCCCAGCATGCAGAATGGGTGACGTTGTCTCGAAGATCTGGTTTCCATTGTTGAACCCTTGTAGGTGACACAGAGCTTCCCTCTGCATGTCACTTGTTGTTGTTTGTTGCAGCTTGGCACGCTATTACTATAACTTACAGCTGTTTTGGTGGACAGCACCTGGAAAAGGCCTTGATATCCCCTCTGTTTCCAGTGACGTCTCCTGTAGTCCTTAATGAGTGTCCTGCTTTCAGGATGTGGTGCAGAGCTGTGGCTCCAGATGGCAAGGCACTTTTTACCTGTGCAATGTCACATGCACATCTGCAAAAGCACCAATGGAAGTGCTTTCACTAATGAAACTTCTGTTTCATCACAACATTATGCCTTTACAGTTACAATGTTACAGCAACATTGTAACTTCCAGCATTCCTGACTGCCTCACCTCTCAGGTAGTAGGACACTGACCAATGACCTGGCTTCCTGTTTAGTAGAGGGAAAACTTCAAGCCATTTACTGATCACAACAAGGTAGTATTTCTTTCTTTCATGTGGTGTAACTTCAATGAATTCCATCACAGAATCACTATATATAAATAAAAATATATATAACATTTTGCCCAAGAACACCTTGACATGCTGCCTGAAGGAGCCAGGGATTGAACCACTGATTTTCCAATTAACAGGCAAACTGCTCTACCTTCTGAGCCACAGCCGTTGTTTATTGGAGCTTCCAGCTGCACACTGGAGCCTCACCTTAGCCAGGCCTAACTATAAGCTTTATCAAAGAGGAAAGTCTTTAGCCTACTCTTAAATGTAGAGATGGCGTCTGCCACCTGAACCCAAACTGGAACCTTGTTCTAAAAGAGAGGAGCTTGATAGCATGAAGGCTCTGGCTACCCTTTCACTTTTGGAGGCTCTAAGAACCACAAGTAACCCTGCATTCGGGGAGCACAGTGCTCTGGTTGGGTAGTAAGGTACTATGAGCTCTTTAAGATCTTTAAGAGTTTAACATTAGAAAAATACAGGTCATCTAGTTTTCAACATCCTGAAGGCACATTTGAAATTTAGCTAACTGATTAGTTTCATCTGGCTTGATCAATAGATATAACTGAGTATCATCTGCATAACAATAAATTTTCTAATAATATGGAATCATAAATAAAGTGAACAGGATTGGTCCTAGGACTTAAACCAGCTTAGAGCGGTTCCTCTAATGCCAATTAAATGTTCCAGTCTCTGTAAGAGGATCTAATGGTTAATGCCATCAAATGCAGCACTAAGATCTAATAAAACCAGGACAGAGACAAGTCCTTTGTCTGATGCAATAAGGAGGTCGTTAATTTTCTCCAGTGCTGTCTCTGTGCTATGATGAACTCTAAATCCTGACTGAAAATCCTCAAATAAACTATTGCTCTGTAGAAAGTCACACAGCTGTTTAGCAACTGCTTTCTCCAGAACCTTAGAGAGAAATGGAAGGTTAGATACAGGTCTATAGTTGGCTAAAACATCCGGATCAAGTTTGGGCTTTTTCAGAAGAGGCTTAATTACAGCTACTTTAAAGTACTGTGGTACATAGCCTGTTGATAAAGATAGATTGATCATATCTAGCATAGAAGTGCTGACTAAGGGTAAAACATCTTTAAGCAGCCTAGTCGGGATGGGGTCTAAGAGGCAGGTTGATGGTTTAGATGAAGAAATTATTGAAGTTAGTTGGTAAAGATTGAGGGAAGCAAAGCAGTCTAAACATTTATCTGGTTCTACAGCTGTTTCTAAGGTTCCTGAGTTTAAAGATAAGTCGGTGCCAGTTAAGGGCAGGTCTTGGTGAAATTTGTTTCTAATAGTATGAAGTCATTACTCTTGTGAACTATGGGAATACTTGGCTTCCTTAATTTGCGAGTTTCATTGTTACACCATGGAGCTTTGAAATATCATCTTCCTTTTTAAAGGAGAGTGTCATTCGCATTGAACCTGCAGCACTATAAAGAAGATGATACATTTGGGAAGGACTAAAATTAGCATAGGGATCCTCCATTACTTTGAGACATGGTATTGAATTAAAAGCTGATGGAATCTCTTTCTTAAATTTAGCTACAGCACTATCAGATAGACATCTCAAATTGAGTCCAATGGCGTGTAGTCCAGTAATAGGAACTTAAAAGTTATGGTCAGACAGAAAGGATTCTGTGGGAACACTATTTAATGTTCAATTTCAATACCATATACCAGAACAAGGTCGAGGGTGTGGTTGAAACAGTGAGTCAGTTTATAAACATTCTGAGAGAAGCCAGTGGAATCTGAAAGAGAGATAAATACTAAAGCTATCATTCTCAACGTCCACATGAATATTAAAATCCTCTACAATAATATCTTTGGCCATTTTAAGGACCAAAGTTGACAAAAACTCTGCAGTATGGACCAGGTGCTCTGTACACTATAACAAATAGAATTAGTTGCAGTTTTTTTTCCCAGGTTGGGTGTGAAATACTAAGAACAAGGCTTTCAAATGAGTTCAGAGTTGATTAGTTGAAGATAGCTGCATCTCCACCTTCTCGGCCTGTGCCACGAGGAATTAATTTAGGATAACATATTCTCCATCACCCAGCCAGGTTTCAGTAAGACAAAATAAATCAATACAATAATATATACAATACATGATATTAATTAATCTACTAGTATACCTTTAGAAGAGAGAGATCTGATGTTTAAGAGTTCACATTTTATTCTCCTATTGTTTTGCACAATTGCACTGGTGGTTTAAATTGTTGTTATTATTTTATGTACGGAATCCCCAGATTATTTGAAATTTATATTGAGACAAATTATTATTAAATAATTGCACTGTGAGTGGTATTTACTTTAGAAAGACTGGGATGCTCTTTTTGTACCCAGTCATGTTACTTACCTGTTGCCAGTTAACCTAATAATTGTGATTGAGATGTTCAGCAGGTTATTTTTTTTTCTCAGTATGTCACAACATTTCCGTCTTTTTTGAAACTTGTTGCTGGCAGCCAATTTGAACTGGGCCTATTATTATCAAACAACACTAACATTTTCAGTTTCAATGTTTGACAAGTTGTCTATGTATGTCTATTTTCAATTAAATATGGGGTTTCAGTGTTTTGCATATCATCACATTTTGTATCTATTTACATTTTACACTGTATTTCCAACTTTTTTGGAAACTGGGCTGGGTCTGATTTCATCATTTCTCATGTCCATCAGAAACATTTCTGCATGTATTCAAAGACACGCTAGATCTCTTCCCATTAAATATAAGTCTTATAAAATGTAATACTTAAGTAAAGGATCTAAGCACTTTTTGAGAAAGTACTATATAATGGCTTTTTTTTTCTTGGTAGACGAAAAGATCCTTTTACAAAATTCTGCTGAGAAACATTCTTGAAGTGATGGATGCACGTGACTTGCAATAAAAGCTGAGACTATTGTGTTGACATTGTTTACATGTTCCAAATCAACTTCATTTGTTCACAGAAAGCCTGAGCTTGTTTGACCAGTTTATTTCTCATTATTTGTGTACAGGGTTCTTCCCAGCAGGAAATAAAGCAGATTAAATTAGCTCCACTGTGTGCAGCTACAAATAAAGTTGGACGATCTCTTTTTTCATATCGTTCAATTATGGCTACTCGAGATCACCAATAGGCAATCCGATTCCCACAGGGCCGTGTTATGCAGCAACATACCAGTGAAATGCCAGCATGGAAGATTTAGGCTTTATTCATGTATTTGTTCCTATTCTTATCTTTAATACCACAATGCAAATTACATCCATAACTTAACCACTATGTGGGGTATCAGATCCACAGAAAGAGAAGGCAGACAAACTGGTCTGTAAATAAGGATTTAATATTTACTCCTGCTGATTAACGGGGTTCAGCTGGCAGACCTCCTCCAGAAACATCTCTCAATAGAAAGTAGGCCTACAGAATGATGGTGCAACTGTGGCTCTGCACACGCAGGGAGAGAGGGAGGTGGGGTGCGTGGAGTCGATATTGACTAGCAGCTACATATGGCTGACAACCTAGGTGTATTCTAACTTTAACACAGCAACCATTATTAGCTAGACTCCTTGCTTGCTGACTTATAACTTATTTGAGGGTGGGTCTCACACATTGTGTTAAGAACATAGATAGACTAACTTCTCAGAGTTAAGTTGAAGGCTTTAGTTTTGGAGAAATTTGAGGAGTGTTGTTCATGATACTTCCGTTCAACCCTGGATTGATTCAGGAATCTTCTTTGCGCAGAGAAGCTGGCACCAATACTTCCCTCCAGCCCATGAACATGTTTTGATTCGACTGTGCACAAAAAGGGTGGGATATTCACAGATGGGTCCGTTGTCAATGTGTTTGTGAGAGAGAGGGAACGAGCAAGAGAGTGAGAGGAGGAGCTGAGCGAATCTATGAGCTGCACACAGCAAATACGATTTTACCCATTTTAAATGGGAAAAAATCAAATAAAAATCAGTGTGCGGCAGTCAGCATTGACTGTGACGCACTGAAACTGTGGCGGTAACACAAACCTTGTACCCAGCTATGGCCCACTTCTGAACGGAAAGTGTACAATAATCATAGTAATATATGTTCCTTTCGATGATATGTCGCTGATACGAAAGGTGGAACAAATGTGTCTCAACTAGTCGGATCCTTTAGGACGTTAAACTGCCCCTGCCCGGTGTCATGCCAAGGCAGTTATCCCTGAGAAAGTGTTCCCCCTGCCGCAGAAGCACACGTGCATGCAACGGTGAAGGCGGACTTTTGACTTAATGAAAATAAATGAAAAATATAACATGTGGATTGTTTCATCTATCGTTGTAGTATTGTTTTATCAACGAGGATTTTGCAGAGCAAGCTAGCACACGGATTATAAGAACGTTTTTATAGGCTGACGTTAACGTTACGTGTTATTGAACTTCTTATTATTCATTGCACTGAATTGAGAATGTCTAAACAAAACGAGCATAAAGGTTCCCTTGTAAAGCATACATTTATTTTACAACAGTCTGACGATGTTATAATTGACCACATAGTTGATTACTTAGTTATCCATGTTACTTTTCAGAAGCTAGATCTTGACAGGCTGTCACCTTTTTCAAGTAAGCTGCTCCTACAAATATCTACACCATCTAAACTGTAAAATCAACATCACTGTAATCACTTTAACACATTGGTCGCCTCAACGTTACATCCACTTGACTCGAAATGTACATTAAACTGAATGCAACATTGTAGACAATATGTTGTCCTCCTAATCCATGTTTCCATAGCCTTTGGATATTCCTGGAATCCCCCTCCTTAAAGGGTAAATTAGTATCCTAACAATTTAATAATGCATTGCATTTAAACAGCACTTTTCATACACAAAAAGTGGTAATAGTAGCCTACTGGTCCTACCAGGTTGGACATGCAGTCTGCCAAATTATGTATCCCTGTCCATAATGCACAGATGATTATCCCCCTCTTGCTGTTCTCTCTCTGTTCCCCAAAACATAGAAACCTAGACTGCGTAAATGATTCTGCATCCCTTTGCTCAGGGCCAGAAGCCTGATTCTGCCCTAGGCAGCAGGTCTCTGGATCAGCTGTATATGTGTTTTAGTACTTCTCGTTTTGTTCTCTTTTCTTAATAAATTCTTCAAAGACAATGGTTGGTTGTGACTCAATTATTTGCTTAATCCCTCACCAGCAAGATACAATTTCCATGACATGTATCACTTTCTAGTTGAATCAATCTTCCTTCACCATTTCTGTGTGTGGCTGTGTGTGTGTGTCTCTCTCTCTGTGTGAAGTAACTTGCTGGGCAGCTGGGCAGAGCAGCAAGGAAAGGGAGCCCCCCATCAGGGTCCTAGCGCCTGACCCCAGTGTTTAATCTGTAACAACGCACTGTATTTTTTAAGGTTACTAGCTACAGGTGGTGGAAAGGAAATTCGCAATTACTTCAATATTGAACTTCAGAACAGTACTAGAAAATGTACTTAGCTTAGATTCGTGGCATTTTTCATGTTTAGTGAAACAGGTGACAGGTGAGACGTTGGGCGTGTCATTGGACAGGTGGGCTTGTGTTGGAGGTAGGGAGGGAGAGAGGGAGGGATGGGAGAAGAAGAGTATTTATGCAGGTGCATTTCTGATGATTGCAGCTGATGACTCTGACTTCAGCGATGGCTTTCTACAAAGTGATCTGTGTGGCGACTCTGCTGACTCTCCTGTCACAAGGTAAGAACCCTCCTCACTGATTTAGAAGAATCTAATTTGAATTACATACATTTGTTTAAAATGATATGGTTATTATGAAAAACACTGCAATAACCTCTAGGATTAGTTTTCTGAACTTCATGCACAGTCTATTTTATCTTTTAAAGTTTCTGTGTTTATTACAAGACTTTGTTTAATGTCATTCTAATGTAGTTTTACCCACAGTAGCATTTTGAAGCTACAGTATATCCATACACACACCTGTGATTTGTGCTTCTGATTGAAAAGACAACATGAAACAGACCCAAAATCTTCCTCTCGCAGAACATTTTTAAATAAATATTAAAAACTTTAAGTTAATCTAGATTTGAGATGTTTTATTAAATGGTAAACTCCATCTTCATGTAATAAGACCCACTGAAGTCTATAATAAAACCCCTGATTGGTGTAAATGCTGGAATAATGTTCTTGATTACAAGCCTGAAGTACCATCATGTGTTGGATTTTTTTATTTATTTGGCAAGTAAATAAGTCAAAGAAATTATTATTAGAAGCATGAATAGTGCTGTCAAAATCCTGAAATGTCATTACAACACCTGAGTGCAGGGGAGGTGTCCACTGTGGTGCTGAAATAACCATAATAACTGAAATAATAAATTTTTAGTTATTTTTAGTACAATAACCTCACAAATCAGTGCAACAGCATTCCTCTTTGACAGAAGACAAGATATTACGGTAAATAAGACAGAAGAGAGCTGCAATTTCCTGACAACTGGCCAGCTAAAGCAACACACACACACAGTTTAATACCTACAAGCACAATGACTGCTGATGCTCAGTGTCAACCTGACCAAGAAATGACAAAAACATTTTAAACAGGGGCACTACAGCAAATAAGATTAGGCCAAACCAAATCCCTTGAAAAAGCACTTACTTACCTGTTTGAATTGTATCCATGAAGCCCTTCAACAATGTCCTTAGTAAGTACAAAAAACTTACAAAAAAATCTAATTTGTTAGTATGCCACCCTCCCTTCCTGTTCCTTTCTCTCCTGTCTCTTCTTGCAACAACTTTTATGTCTGAATGGCATGACTAGCTTGCAGGTGAGCTCTGTTGGTCTGCTTGTCAGATTTTGCAATTCACCCATAGACTGTATAAAAAAAGGTCACATGAACAAATAGAAATTTAAGATTAGGTAACAATATGCACAATACCAAAGAAAATAAGACAATATTAATTCTGTATAATCTGTGGAATATATTTATTTTATACTTTGCTTGCTAGAGACTTTTTTTGGTAAAGCTACTGACTGACACCATGGCAAAGGTGGATGTGCACATTTGAGGGTATGATCTCTTTAGCATTATTCATGTATAAAGTGACGTGCAAATCTAATGTTTGATTTATGTATCTTTATGAAAACAATAGCCCGGAATGTAGCTCAACAACAACAACAAAAATATTTCCCTATTAATAGGCTAATAATATTCATGAAGCAGCCTGTCTCACAGGTCTTCAAAGAACGGCTACTCACAATAATATTGCTTTATTTTGGTTGAAGTTCACCTGCTTTTTTTTGGTTGAAGTTCACCTGACGTGACCCTGCCTCCGTCATGCAGCATGCCTGCATTTAGAGAGAGAGAGAGAGAGAGAGAGAGAGAGAGAGAGAGAGAGAGAGAGAGAGAGAGAGAGAGAGATGCATGCAGTCCCAAACAGGTTGTGTGTCTGTCAGACGGTGTGAAGAGGATATTAGCAGAACAACAAGGAAAGCTCAGCAGAGTACAGGGCAGGTAGATTTTGTTAAAATATGATAACTTTATTCTTATTAGATTACGATTTTATTCTTGTAATAGTACACCTTTTGTCTATAAATATTACCAAGTTACTCTGCAAAAAGAAAACAGATATGTGGGAGAGATTTTGGATGTGCACAACATTTTAGACATGAGGAGAAAGACTTCTAAAACTCAGGAGCTATTAATGTCCAGGGGATAACTGAATTAATATTAATTGATTAATCATTGGTGACACATGCACATTTAAAGTTACTTCAGTCACGCCTACATGTGTGCTGACTAAGCAGGGATGAAATTAAATGAGAAAAGTTGATCTACAGGAGAAACATATCTGACAGCAATACAGAATGCCTGAGAGCCTTACTGCATCATATTACACTATATTTTTATATTTTGAATTATTACCCAAATATTGTGTTTCTCTTCATATAAATAAAATACATTATGTCAATAAACTGGTGCAGAATTTTGCCAGAATGCAGGAAATTAAGTTTTTTAAACTCACAATTTTCAGGTGGGCTAAGAACTTTTCAAGAGCCTGACAACAGCTCTGGCTGAGATGCATTTTTATTATGTAACTGATAAAGTTCAACTCCTAACCTGGGGGGGGGGGGGGGGGGGGGGGGGCTCTCCCGTCACGGCCCGTGTACAGTGGGGCGCCAATACAGCTGCACTATCCATATCTACGCCCCTGTTTCAAGGACAATTATTGAAGTAATAGGACAGAATGTTAAACATTATCCCATTTCCCACTTTTTAGGTTTTTCAACTGTTATCTAGTCATTCATACTTAATGAGATAGAAAATCCATTCAAATATCAAAATGTTCCACATTGTTCCTACTTTCTAATAATTCAAATTTCAAATCCTATTGAAACTGTTCAAAATATTAACTTTCTCTGAAACTTTGTTAAAATGAAAGTCAGTCCCACTAATTCATACATATAGAAATGCCATTCAAAATTTAAATCATTTAAGACTTCCTCAAGTTAATTCAACTTTTTCACATAAATTATACTTGTTACATAGTCACAAGTCAAGTTTCATGTAACTTTCAGCCCTTTTCTGACTTTATGAGTGTGTGTGGGATGGATGGGTCGCAGCTAAAGTAGGAGGACCAGCTGACTGAGTTGGATTTCACTTTAAAATCTTATAAGAAATTGCCAACTGCCACGTAGATTTTCAAAGGAACTTAGATAAAAATTTTAGGAGGAAGGCAGAAAGGTGGACGTTTTTAAATTGCTTTCACAAACACATTTTTGACACCACACACAAAAATCTCACACAGCATCTTCAGGTGGATCTTCTCTCTCTGTTTACTTAGGTGATAAGAGTTACGGTCTGTTTGGTGTCATTTCCAAAATTTTAAAGTTAAAAAAAGTTAAAGCCCAATGTTGGGAACCTTATCATAACAGGAAAGTCAGGATTAGCAAGGCTTGATATCAACAGGAAGATAAGGCTCAACCTAGTTTTTCAAAATAAAAGCCCCAGGCAGTAACTGTTTCAGTAATAGTGACTTGACAGAGACCTCAGGATAAGGCTTTTTCAAAGTATAAGCCCCTACAGTGGAACTGTAAATTAACTGGTGTAACTGGCTGCCTACGGACTGCATGGTCCTTACTCGAACCGGCGACCTCGGGTGTAAGAGGCTGACACGATGACAAGGAGGCTAAAACCCTTGTGTACTAGCGTTGGTCACCAGTGCGTCTCTTAAGGTGTCGGGAAGTGAAGTTTACTCACTGCACAGCTTCACTGGCTTCCATTAGACTGGCAACAATGGATTGACCTAATTTTTTCCAGTCCCAGACAGTAGCTGTACTTGTGTAACAGGGAACTCACGACAAGGCTGTTTTTTCAAAATAAAGGCCCTTTAAAATTCCCCAACGCTCACAACAGACGATGGATGACCTAGTTTTTGTTTAAATAAGAGTCCGACCTCACAGTAAAAGGAAAAACACATCTATTCATACTGTACGTGTACCTGCAGGCACACAAACACACTGCAGGCTACTTAAAATGAGCTAATGAAGTCAGTGTGACATTCACATTTTCCAACTTTTTCAAGTACTTTATTATCGTGGGTCAGTGGGTAGCACAGTCCATGGGGACTTATCTTGTGAACCGGAGGGTCAACGATTCAAGTGCAGCACGGATCATTGCGTAAAGTGCCCATGAGCAAGGCCCTGAAATCCTAGCTGCTCCCTCTGTGCTGCACAATGGTCCCTATAAGGATGGGTCAAATGCAGAACAGAAATTTTGTTGCACTCTGTATAATTGTATCTGACAATAAAAGCTGATTAGCTTATTATTATCTATTTTCAACTACAAACTCCAAACAAACCTTAAAATTTTCCACATTTGTAATACATTATAGGTATCAAATATTTAATTTAATTTAATTTATAACATTTCTCATGTTTCTAAGTCTTCATAGTCCTTTAGCTACTTGTTCATGGAAATTAAAGCCAGCAATGCAGTTTAGTGTCAGCTTTTCAACAATCCTTAAAATAATCTACGTCTTTCATACATTTATGTTAATTATATAAATTTTTCACGAAATCTAGTTTAGTGCAAGCTAACTAGGTAAGTTCAATTGTGCTTGATTTGACAATTGAAGGCACTGAATTTATTTTCACACATACATTTAATTCTGCACCTTAAAGCCACCTTAAAAATGTACTTTCTTATTCTTTTCAGTCTGTCCTTGTAGTAAGAGTTTTTTTGGAAGCATGCAATAAAAGTAACATTTGTGGATTTAATTTAAGCCAATTATGAGAACTCTTTTATTCAGGGAAATATGGATAGATTAAACAAACAGATGGACAACAGCAATTTCAACCTAACCTAACAGATTGTTTGAATCACTGTACCAACAACGTGTGACTAAAGATTTGTTTGCAAAAAGAACATCTGTTCACCGAACACTTCGTCGTCCACGAGCAGAGTGAGCCCTCCTCTACATTACACAGAAATTGGGGAAAATAAGGACTCAACAAATGCAAAGTTAATTTCTGTAACAGGAAAAAACATTTTCAGCCTGTTTGCTGAGAGGGGAAAGGGCGTAAGGTTTGTCATTTTTGTGTTTGAGTTTATTAAGAAGTGTTACAGATGATCACAAAATTCTTTGCATGCAAATATCAATGTCAATATAGCAAAGACATATCAGTGAATATAAATACAAAATTACTGTATCATAAATATTTTGTTTGTTTTATGTTTTCAGAGTCTCACTCACAACTAAGTGGTAAGTCGAAGTTTCTACTCACACTTTTTTACTTCTCGTCTGTCATTGGGACATTTTAAACATGATTTTGGGACGTAACATGATGTAAATAGCTTTTTATTGTAATTATTTCCCCACTTTGTCTTTGTCTCTCTCCTCAGTGTGTGGTCGACCTACATTCAAAACCAGGATTGTTGGAGGGCAGGTGGCCACTCCAGGCAGCTGGCCCTGGCAGGCCAGTCTGCAAAACTCTGGGTCCCACTTCTGTGGAGGAACCCTCATTAACAATCAATGGGTGCTGACTGCTGTTCAGTGCTGCTCAAGGTAAGCAGTGAGGATGAGGCTGCAATAAAAAACAACATGCCATACAGTGGCCTAAACAGCCTGTCTAAGGCCGTGGTTCCTAACTTAGGGGCAGGAATCTCTCCAAGGGGTCGCAGGAAAAAGGATTTATAGGACAGGAAACATGAAAAATATTATTCTGCTTCTGAAATTTGACTGATATCACCATCCAAGGAGAAACACTGTGTTGTTTCAACCTGTGATGTTGAGTAGCAAGTGGACAATGATTCATTTTGATGGGTCATCAGCCAAAAAGGATGGGTACTGCTGCTCTAAGAAAATTAAAGAGGGGTATTCTAGCAAGAGTTTAGGACGCATTTTAGGATTATTTTTGATATAAGTAGCTCTGTAGGCAAGTTTGGCATCTGAAGCCATCTGGTTTCCATTTGTAGTCTGACTAATATTAACCAATGAGGTTTGAGTGGCCTTTAATTGCATGCAGGTTAACAGTCGTTGAGGAGAGCAAAAGACATGAAACACATTGCCTCTAATGCAATCTCTGAACCCATTGGCTATCATCTGACAGCAATTTAGCTTTTATCAGCTTTGTAAACTAGTTACTTCCAGTCATAGACGTCTCCATCTCCATTCTCGCGTCACAAGTTGCTAATCGGACTGTAAACATTAGGTGGATCTCAAGTCTCTTATTTGTAGTTTCCTCGCTCCTCGCTTGAACTACAAGTTGTTTTGCTCCACCATCTTGCCGACCGTCCCAAAGCTCTTATTTTGTCCTGAGGAGCTCTGAGTGAAAATACAGCTTTGGGCAGAAGTCTTTTAGTGACCGACACGTACCTTTACTGGAACGCCTTAATTGATTGGACGCTGCAGCTGATCAGACTGATGTGATGTATCGCAACATTGTTTCATACCGGAGAGAAGACAGATAGGCCTAATTTAAACTTGTGTATCACTGCCAAATTTTCTATGCGATTTGTTTTATGATTCGCTGTCTTGTTAAAATCTGTGTTCACTGTAGGTCTGAACAACAAAAGCCCCACAAATAACTTTCTTCATGTATTAGAAAGAATTTTCTTTTATCTTATTTCCCCCATTAACTTTTATTATGGAGACAATTAAAGTCAGAGAATTAAAGTTGCTCCTGTGCAACAAAAGCATTAAGAGTAGTGTTAAAGGTTATGAAAAGATGAAATAAACGATAGCCTAAAACTGAGTGTAGGCTTTGAGTTAAATCATTTTTCTGACAAAAAAGAAACCATGATGATCTGGGTTATTCAATAATGAATTCACAATCAGAATATCAATAAATACAGATGCAGATAATGAATAAAAAATGTAAACACATTCTCCCCATAGAAATGATCCTGTGCCTTTGAGCAGGACACAGTAGGTTATAACGACAGACTGCAGGTTGTTGTTCCCTTGCAGGTGTTTGTTAAAAAAGTCACAACTACAGAGAGGAGGCATGAACATTCTGATCTGCAGTGATAATTGTTTGACTCCAGCAGAATCCGCACAGTGCACATGTGTGCAGACCCAAATTCCATCAAAAGTCTTTCCAGCTGACTACTTTGATCAGCTGATTCAGCTGTGATCAGCTGCCACTTTCATCAAAAATTGGATGCTGCTTTTCGTAACGCTTTGGAGGAAAGGACTTTCCATGTCTGTAAAAACACATTTCTTCGTTCCTTCTCTCCTTGCATGATTTCCTTGCATCTCTCCATGCAGCCCAGTGGGACTAAGACGCAAGGAAAGGACACAAGTGAGGGAAACGTCGATACAATTAAGAGAATTGGGATGCACCCATCAAATGCAAAATGTAAAAGGAAGTCTTGGCCTGGTTACACGCTAGCTACACCATGTGCCCAGAACATTGCCTCTTGCCCCCAGAGCCTAAATCCTCGGCAGACTGCCCTCATCATGCCGCCCAGAGAAATAGACATTTCTTAATTCCACGTGTCTTTGTTCCCTCTCCCTTTGGAATCAATAGAGTTCAAGCTTTTGGACTGAGACACAAGGATAGACTCACATTTGGGCTGTTTTATCGCTGCAATGTACACTGGGAGAAAAGATCGTTTTGCTGTAAAACAAACTGTTGATATTAGAGATGTTTTTCAGTTCAGAGAAGTTCATCCTTAGTTTTCTGTTGGTCTCCACAGCAACAGATGCAAAGGTCTTGACTAAAGTTCTGCTTTTCATGTCTTTGCACTGTTTTGTTTTTCTTGTGATTACCTCAGTCCAGGCGTAAGCACGAGCACCCTGGTTGTGTCTCTGGGTCTCCAAAGTCTACAGGGATCAAACCCCAATAAAGTGTCTCGCACAGTATCACAGATCATCGTTCATCCCAACTTTAACGCTGTAACTTTTGACAACGACATCTGCCTCCTGAAGCTCTCCTCACCCGTGACTTTCACCGCCTACATTCAGCCCGTCTGTCTGGCAGCCACAGGCAGCACCTTCTACAAGGGGACTGTCTCCTGGTCAACCGGCTGGGGCAATGTTGGAACTGGAGGTGGGTCAGAAAGGACCTGGATTACATTTATTTTCAGAGACAGTCTGATTACAGACACATTACACATCACTTGATAAAATAATTTTAGATTTCATCCTGACTGGTTCCACTGGGGTTGCAGCTGAAAAGAAGTTATTCATAACACAATAGCTTCTCATTTTATTATAATGAGATTGTTGTCACAGTTTATAACAATAAGACTGCAGTAAGTAACGTTACTGTAGTGATAATAATGATAATAATAATAATAATAATAATAATAATCTTTTCAAAAACAAGTTACAAAGTGCTTTAACAAGTGTAAAGACAATAATACTCAAGAGACAATAATACAAAAACAATACAAGATAAAAGCATGAAAAACATTGAAAAGACTAATATACACGTTTAAGATAAATATAAAATAAATAAAATAAAAGGGATAAAATAAAGTCAAATAAGATCGGGAAAAGCTCTCCTATAAAAGTATGTTTTAAGAAGGGACTTCAGAGTTCACTGACTCAGCCGACCTGATTTCCTCGGGCAGGCTGTTCCAGAGCCTCGGGGCCCTGACAGCAAACGCTCTGTCCCCTTTAGTTTTCAGTCGAGACTCTGGAACAGACAACAGACCTCTGCCCGAGGATCTCAAGGTACGTGCTGGTGTGTATGGGACTAAAAGGTCAGAAATATAACAAGGCGAGAGGCCATGAAGAGCGTTAAAAGTGATCAATAGAATTTCAAAGTCAATTCTAAAACATACTGGGAGCCAGTGTAATGAAGCTAAAATAGGAGTAATGTGGTCATATTTCTTTGTTCTGGTTAAAAGCCTGGCAGCTGAGTTCTGGACAGTCTGGAGTCGATCAATAGATTTTTGGGTTAAACAGGTGAAAAGGCTGTTGCAATAATCCAGGCGTGATGAGATGAAGGCGTGTAAAATGGTCTCGGTGTCCTTAAAAGTTAACATAGATCGAATTTTTGCTATATTTCTAAGTTGATAAAAACATGATTGAACAAGCTTTGTGGTGTGCTGCTCAAAATTTAAATTACTATCAAACCAAACACCATGGGTCGTCCACTGTGTTGTCTTGTGCCTTATGTTGCATTATTGTATAAAATGTGGGTCACTGGGACGGTGGAGAAACTGTGTACCTGAGTATCAGTAAAACAACAGTAAATCTAAAATGAACGTTACAAAGCAAACAGCAATAGATCCATGCTCGTGGTACACAGGATAGTAACGTGTATTGTGTAACCTGTAATTGTCCACTTTTAAACTCAGATAAAACTGGGGCACAAACACCTCAGAGATGCATTATCTAAAGATATAGTTACTCTGGATTAAATGTGTGTGTTCGTATAATATTATAACATGAAATAAATGTATACTATTAATTTAATAATATACTGTTAGTATAATATTATATATTATTTTTTTCCTGTGGCCAAATGTTAATAATAATATAAAGAGTACAGTCTAGACCTGCTCTATATGAAAAGTCAAATGAGATAACTTTTGTTATGAATTGGCGCTATTAAATTAAATTTGAATTACTGCGAGTGTTTTGAAGTTTGTGGTGGACCTGTCCTTTGGTTTAACGCAAGAGTTACTCATTGTACCTTTAATGGGCTAAGACATTGTAAAATCACTGGCATGGTCCTTCATGGTTCAAGTAGTGAGAATGTTTTCTTGATCCACAGAGGAACACCTGGAAACACTTGAGGTGTGCCACAGATCACTGATATATTTATTAAAGTGTCCATTTTGTGTGAAACCATTTAAACTTTTTTTACTGAATTTGTCTCTCTCCAGTGTCCCCTCCTTTCCCACAAAACCTAATGGAGGTGCAGAAACCGATTGTGGGGAACAGAGAGTGTAACTGTAACTACAGAGTGGGTACGATCACAGACAACGTGATCTGCGCCGGGTTAACTGCTGGAGGAAAAGGCATCTGTCACGTGAGCATTTTTACACCTGTATTTGTGTCAGATTTCACCATTTGCAAAGATTCCTTCTCCTAAATGTTTCTCTTCTTTAAGGGGGATTCAGGAGGTCCGCTGGTGAGCAAGCAGGGCAGTCGCTGGATCCAGGCGGGAATTGTGACTTTTACCAGTAGCAAGGGCTGTGCCCAGCCTAATATCCCATCAGGCTACACCCGAGTGTCCCAGTATCAGTCCTGGATCAATAGCCAGATCACCAGCAACCAGCCAGGCTTCATCACCTTTACATCCACTGGGACTGACGGTGACCTCAGCATTACCTGCCCTGGCCTGCCACTATCAATACCCCAAGGTGAGTGCCTACCATGTCCAGACTTTTGTCTACATCTCACCTTGGAAAGCTTAATATTAAATATTTTCTTCCTCTTCTAGCAAACAGTTTCATATTTTGTTTCAGATGCATTCATTTACGGTTGTATGGTGATGCATTTACTAACTGTTGTACATCATGAGGTTCATGGCAGCACCATGGTTGTTTATAAAACAACATTATACAATTGTGATCACAGGGGTGTGACTCTTTGTAAAGAGTAAACCTAATTTCATGTGTAAAATCAGTGGAGGGCCCCTTTAACTTCAGCTACTGACATGTTTTTGTGACATTAAGACATCATCAGGGACTTGAGCAATAACAGTAGTAGTATTAGTATAGTAGTATTATTACAACTTATTAGTATTAATAAGATTATCAGCAGTAGAATAACGTATGTTCTTTTCAGCCTGTCCTCACCAGAAAAACAGCCGCATAGGTTGATTATTCAAGCAACTTACTATGACTCTTATAGACATTTTTTAGGCTGGGACCTCTAGTGGTCATAAGACGTAACAAAAGAGGAAGACAGCTGATACATTTTGGTTATTGAAGACTTTTGTGGTCATAATGAGTTCTAGGGGAATATTAAAAACAACCGCAAACTCCTTTTCTGTAAGTGGAAATTATTTTACACTCTGTTAGCTGAGAGAGGACAGGGTTAAAAGTCACTTATTAAACATCTTTGTGTTTGAATGAGTTTAGTAATAAAAGTATTCACAAAATTCTTCCCATGTTAATATAGCATGACACATATATTTTCACATGAATTGCTGTTTCAAGCAAGCGAGTCTCACTCACAGCTAGATGCTAAATCAAAGTTTCACTGCTAATTTTTGTCCATCTATCATTTCGACATTTAAATATGTTGTTGGACGTAAACGTTTTAAAATAGTTTGCTGTAAACCCATATTGTTCACTCTGTTTCTTTATTGTCTCTCTCCTCAGTGTGTGGTCAGCCAACACTCAACACCAAGATTGTTGGAGGACAGGTGGCCTCTGTAGGCAGCTGGCCCTGGCAGGCCAGTCTGCAAACCTCTGGCTCCCACTTCTGTGGAGGAACCCTCATCAACAATGACTGGGTGCTGACTGCTGCTCACTGCTGTGCAAGGTAACAAGTGAGGGTAGGGTCGTTACAAAAAACCAACATGCCATCCAGTCCTGTAAACAGCCATCCTGGGAACCTTTGCAACTCAGTTTTAAATGATTTAAATGATCATTCATCATCATTCAAGAAGAAAATCTTTGTTGTTTCAACTTGTGATTATGGGTAGCAAGCAGACAATGTTTCATTTTTTAAGGGGCCCCAGCCAACAAGATTGGGAAGAACTGCTCTAAGAGGCAGGGAGAAAAAATTACTTCAGAACTGAAGAAGTCCTTTGGATGAGGGACGAAACGTCTTCCAGTATCTTCAACCAAGTCCAGTTGCCCTTCATTTTAACCTTCGTTGGATAACTATGACCTGGATTCATAGCATTAAACCAGCTTATCTTCATAACAACATATTTAAAAACCCTGTGTTGCCTTACTTTCTGTACATTTTAAGAGTTCAGGTTAGATCCTAGTAGCAGACAGACGCAGGATGAGCCGATCCTTAAGTATTGTAATCTCAGGTGATCGTTAAGTGTCATTTACACTGAGGACACTAGGGACATGTCCCCACCACTTTTTGAAATGGCTGATTTTGTCATCATAATTTTTTTTAAAGCATTTGTTAAAAAAGTTCTGAAAATTAAAAAAGTTAATTAACAAGTGAAAATGCTTTGAAAAAGGTCCATTAGCACAATAACAAAACATCCAATGCAATCTAAATACAGAAGAAAGAAATGTGCATCGTCCAAATGATGTAAGTTTAACTAAAAAAAACAAGCTACTGATTACTTCATTATGTTCCATTATATTTTTATGTATTAAATTGTCACCAGCCACCTGACGTTTGTGTTTCCTTTTATATAAATAAATGAAAAAAATCCAGAATAAATTACTAAAAAGTATAAAATGTATCTAGTATAAATATAAAATCTTATACAGTTCCCTAAGAGCAAATGACCATACTTCTCCCAGCTTTAGTCTTCAGAGTGGCACCAGGCAGGGTTGCCCACTCTCTCCTTCACTATTCACCATTTTTATAGAACCACTAGCAGCTGCTATAATATTAAAAGAATTCAAACAGAAAATGCACACCACAAGATAAGCCTTTATGCAGATGATGTATTACTTTCCCTCATAAAATTACACTTATAGATAAATTATCTTCCATTTCTGGAGTAAATCCATAGTTTTACCTGTAATGTGTGATTTCCAGCATATATCTACAACACTGCTAAAGTCAGGGAATATTTCATATCTGGATGTGCATGTTTCCTCCAGGCTGTCAGAACCTGTGTTGGGGTAGTTACTCAAAAAAGGTAATTGATTACACATTACTAGTTACTTTTTTAAAGCTTTTTAAAAAAATTAATGCCTAAAGGAATGCCATACTTCTTTTTTAGATTACTCACTGCTGAAAGTAACTAGTTACACTACTAGTTACATAACTTTTGGATTATTGTGTAACATCACCTGTGATGCACAGTAACAATATAAAGTTACAACTCATGTATGCTCAGATCAACACAAATGCTTATTACATTGTGAACATGAAATCGGTGGAATCGCACAGGGCAAGGAGATCACGGAGTTACCGGCACGCTGCGGACAGTCGATGATCATTCCTTCTGGCTGGATGAAGTCTGTTGCTCTCCATGGTCCATGATGATAGGGAGCTGATGTCTTATTAAGTGGTGCTAAGCTCACCCTGGCTCCCCTTAGTTTGCACCCTGGGCAGAAGTGTCTCAAATCGTTTGTCAGACAACCTCTTCCTCCTCAGAGTCAGCACAAGACTACCCAGGCTAAAGAGCCTCGCCACAGACGCACCAGAGGGTATCGCTGTCCTTTTGTGAAACAATATGAATTAATACCTCCACCATCGAAAGACTTCTTTGACAGCTCTACAATTTTTGCGTCCTCATGAACTGGCGCTGAAGTCAAAAGTTAGGTCGAAAAAGATACGCAAACACGCATGAAAAGGGAGGTTTGATTTATTTTTCTCTCCTCCCGTTAAGCAAGAACCAGTTTGCAAGTAACGCAACTGTAATGTGATTACTGAAGATGTCAACAGTAACGCAGTGTAACGCGTTAGTAACCTGATCACAGTCATGTGTTACTTTGTAACGCGTTACCCCCAACACTAGTCAGAACTGACATGGCTAAACTTCACGCCTCTACTTAAATCAATAGAGGATGATGACCTTGTGTGATGGATGACATTGCCCATTGAACACACTATACAGAACAAAGGATGTTCAGAATGGGTCTGCTCAGGTAACATATCTGATATCCAACGAAGGTTAAAATCAAGGGCAACTGGACTTGGTTGAAGAAACTTGAAGACGTTTCGTCCCTCATCCGTCCCGAGATAACTATGACCTGGATGACTGAGAATCTTCATAGACAACATATCTGATAGTTACATGCATGCTATGTGGCAATGTGTACCTGTTCAAACGTTCTGGCAGAAGATACATGAAGAACTGTTGACTTGGCTAAGGTACCCCGTCCCAGTTTCCCCAGCATGCAGAGTGACTGCAGCATATGCAAAGAACATGGACTGTATGTGCAGACTGAATATAAAATTAAACATTTTAGGGAGCAACTTCTCTAATTAGGGCTGGAGGTTATGAAAACGTTAATTGAGCACATGAAAGACTAATTGCAACATCTATCAGGCTACATACAAGCTAAACTTAGTCTCTGCTAAAGTGATCTTGAGTTCTGCAGTTCTGCTTTTCATGTCTTTGCACTGTTTCGTTTCTCTTCTGATTGCAGTACAGGCATCACCACGAGCACTCTGACCGTGGTTCTTGGTCTCCGGAGTCTACAGGGATCAAACCGCAATCAAGCGTCTCGGTCAGTCTCACAGATCATCATTCATCCCAACTATAACATCATAAATTTGGAAAACGACATCTGCCTCCTGAAGCTCTCCTCACCGGTGGCTTTCACCACCTACATCCAGCCCGTCTGCCTGGCGGCACCAGGCAGCACCTTCTACAAGGGAACTCTCTCCTGGGCCACCGGCTGGGGCGATGTTGGATTTGGAGGTGTGTCAGAAAGCACCTGGATTACATTTATTTTCAGAGATAGCGTAAATACAATGTTGTCAACTACAATGGTGTGTTATTTCAGAAATTTCAATGCTAAATTGCAGTTACAAACAGTTTATCCAGGGAACAACAAAACCTTCCTCTATCTGTGTGGGGAATAGAGATCATTTTATCATAATCTGTCTGTGACATTAACACAGTTTTGTGAATAAGTTTAAATATTTTATAAGTAGTGAGTGGAGTAGGATCAACATGGAGGACAGCTCTCCATGTCTCAACAGGTAGGTAGGAAGGGGTACGAGCACATTCACTGACAGCAACACTCAGCACAGAGTGAGTCATCAAGAAGTGGGAGACGTCCCGCAGATAGAAGCGAATAAAAGAACAAAGGGAAGACAAAGAAGGGCACATGTCTTCCATTGTCATTCCCTTGTGCAGCGCCACAGAGGAGGAGATTCCTCTGGTGGATTGCTCCCTTATCTGTCTTCTGAGATGGAAGCTCAGAAGACAGATAGGCTTAAAAGCTTCACACAGCCAGAGAGACGGGAGCTGAGCAGACAGGTGAAGACCCAAAGATTGTTCTCTGTAATAAATAAATAAATTGGAGCTGTGAACGGTGTAAAACAGCCGTGCACGTAACGTAACAAGACAGAGACAGAGCATGCACTGGGCAGAGAAGATGAGACGCAGCATCCTCCTCTGACCTGTGAGGAGGAGGAAAGAAACCGTCGAAAGTAATAACCCTATTAAACTGAATTTGTGTCTCTTCAGTGTCCCTTCCTTACCCAGGAAACCTAATGGAGGTCCAGTTGCCGATTGTGGGGAACAGAGAGTGCAGCTGTACCTATGGATTGAGCATAATCACAAAAAACAGGATGTGCACCGGGTTCAGTGCTGGAGGAAAGGACATCTGTCATGTGAGCATTTTTACATCTGTGTTCGTGTCAGATTCCACCTTCTGCAAAGATTCCTTCTCCTTAATGTTTCTCTCCTTTAAGGGGGATGGAGGAGGTCCGCTGGTGAGCAAGCAGGGCGGTCGCTGGATCCAGGAAGGAATCATGAGTTTTACCAGTAGTCTGGGCTGTGCCCTGCCTAATTTCCCATCAGGCTACACCAGAGTGTCCCAGTATCAGTCCTGGATCAACAGTCAGATCACCAACTTCCAGCCAGGCTACTACACCTACAAGTCCACTGGGACTGATGGTGACCTCAGCGTTACCTGTACACCACCAAAAAACACACCCTAATGTAAGTGCCAGCCCTGTCCAGACTTTGATTTTAACCATTTGGAAACTTTAAAAAAACTTTAAAATTACATATTTATCTTCTTGTTAAAACACAATCTGGGATCTGGATAGTATTGGGATTGTTTAGTTTAGTTAAGTTGGGCTCTTTGTTTTTTGAACATCTGCTAATACACAAAAGCCTCCCTGTTGAATTACAGTTAGTGTGTTAGCGCACTAACACACTAACTAGGTGAAAGTCTACCTCACAGACAGAGGGCAGAGTGTTTCTTCTGATTCTCTCTTTTTACTCTTTTGCTTTGTGTTTACACACACAATTTTTGGAATCCAAAAATGCAGAAGAAGATCTTCCACAGTTTCCTGACTCCTGACGTTCATCAACGACTGTTCATTGCTGTGTGTTTTAATATCTAGCACACTTCCTGTTTTGTGTCGGTACCACGCTGCTGGGCCTTAGTTCCTGTGTTATTTCCTGTCACTGTGTTCAATATCACAAGCAATAGTTTATCACCGACCGAACACATAGCAGAACATGAGACGCACTTTTATACTGGAGAACACTAGGCTTCAGTAACTGATGATCTTAACTACACCTACTGGCATCTGCAACATAGAACACAATGAGATAGACATCCCAGCAGCTGAAAGAGATGGGGATGTCACAGTCACATTGTATCTAGCCACGTCAATCACGACCTTAAATATCTCGCTCTGTGTACCTTTTCCCTTTCCTCGTACTATACATATCACACACACACACACACACACAAACACACACACACACACACACACACACGCTCAAGGTGGAAAGAGTACTTTTAAAAAAGTATGATTAATTTGATGAACTTTTACCTAAGCGCAAGTAAAATTACTGGTATAAAAATCTTCTCAAGTAAAAGTAAATAGTAGCTCATTTAAAATTTGCTCAGAGTAAACTTTACTTTTTTACTTTTTAACCTCCTAAAATATCTTTTTTTTACTGATTAATATCTTATTTATACTAATTATACTTATTTTATTAAATTGCAGTCTTTTGGAATTTGATAAGGGCATAATGCCATATGGCGCGTTCAATTTTAGTTTGTTTGACAGATACTTTGCCAAAGCAATAGTGCAAAACAATGTAAGAAACTTTTTATGTGAAGTTTTGAGAAAGTTTTCGCTTCATAATGAAACTGTGGCGGAACAGATTTGATTATGGTGGCCTGTACTGGACTGGGGAGCTTGGCTTCTCTTAATATGCTATTAATTACTATTTTTCTGTAAAATTAGGATATGAAGTCCGACGCTCATGATTTTACGCATGATCCATGTGCTACTGCAGCTGGGCACGCTCTGCTGCAAGAGTCAGTCAGTCCCATAGGTGTCGCTAGACTTTTTTATTGGGACACGTGCCCCTGTATCCATGTGCTGTGCCCCAGTATTAAGACCTGGTCTGTGGTCAAGTTAGCAACGATTGGAAATATCTGCAACGTGCGGTCAAGTTACACTCTCAAAATAAAACTACTGGTTAATGTGACAAGGCAAGTTATTAATGATATGAAACGCTGCAAAAAATGAGTCAATGTTGAAAGCCAGTGTTTACAAAGTTGATGAGAGGACAAAGAGGGACTATCCATCTGGGCACAACAATATGCTCATACTCATGTGCACAAAATGAAAGGTCCAGCAAAACGGTGCTACAGTCTGCAGTCGGACCTTATTGCACTCAAGCAGCAACATTAGTGGGACCAGTCCAGACAGCACTGGGAAGTGATGGCTCTCCTCGTGGGCACACATCATTTTAAAACAAGACAGTAATTATCTGTCTCTCGGTGAAGATTTAGTTACAAATCTGGACTAATGCAAGGTGGAAAGCAGTGGATTCACACTGACTATTAAAATGTTGATTAGTGGGGCAGACTGGGCAATACGGACGCACATCTCTCAGTAAATAATAAACATCACTTACTCAGTCAAGTCATAGTATAAATTATGGCCCGACAATAAAACGATAGCGTAACAATAATTATCACAGTATAAATTTCCTCAATAACAATTTAACAAATGTTCAATAAATATTCAATGAATGTTTGATCTTATTCATTTGAATAATGAACAAATTAGCACTTACTTTTTCTATTAAAATATTTATTTTGTTGAGGAAAAAAGGGACTAAAAAAGATTTAACTTAATTTTACTCATGCACATTTGTTGAAAAAAGATTTTAACATATTTGTTTTGAACGTTCTACCTCAGATTTGTGAAGTGATCCACTGTTTAAGTGATTTTCATGTTCTGACCATAAATAAAAGTTTAAACCACAATTTACTATCTGGTTTCTTCAGCCAAAATTCAGCCTTTAAAACTTGATAGAAATCACGATTTGACATTTATCCTGATAATTATCAAAATTTAATAATATTGAACTTTTTATCGTGATAACATTTTTTGCCACACTGCCCAGCCCAAGTATAAATAATGTTTTAGCTTTGAAAATGTTAAAGCAAACTGGGAAAACCAGTTTGAATGGGCCCGATGGAGCTGATAACAAATCCAGGCTGTAGACAGGGCATCGAATTTTCTATTGGGTCAATTAAGGTGTTACTCAAAAGGTCAAGGTATAGCGTTTTTTTTTTGTTTACATGCTAACTGTAGTTAAACTATGTAACAGCTGCCCGTGTGTATTGATTGATCTAAAAATGCGTTTTGGACTAAATATTTCTCTTGATTGGATCATTTGGACCTTTGCCAACAATCTCTCGACAGGCTACGGCTTTTCTGGTAGTCAATGATTATTAGCAGTGGGTCACCAGTACAAGTACTTCTACATTTTAATCTTTGGCGTAGTGTGATTTTTCTTGGGTACCGGTGCCCTCTCCATATCAGGTTCTCTGGGCACTATTTGACATTCACCTGTTTCCGTTCTCACTGGCCACCTAATACCTCCGTAGAAACAGAGGAGAAAGGGGAGTACCAGCAGGGCTGGGCAATAAAACAATAATAATTATGTCAATATATTTCCCTGATTAACAATATAACAGCAATGTTAAATAAATAAATTAGACCCCCAGACTGAATATTTCTTCATAACAGTGTACAATTATTTTCTCGTCTTGCGAACCCAGTATCATAGTACCTCATGTCTCGTGAGCTAAGTGTATTGTCACACCGCTAATCTGAGCCACTATGGCCCCATCAGTTTTCAACACAGAGTTACGCTCTTGCCCCTTACCTTTCATCTTTGTTGTAACCCCCCGAACACATTTCCGGCACAGAATATTTTCTTGCTTTAAGCCGTGCAAACTTGTTGAACACAGACGCAATCATCAAAACCACTGACTTTGTCCTTTCCGCCATTTTAAGTCCAAAAATCAGCTCAATGATTATTGAGCAACAACTGGGAGCTGTGCCTGCCTTCTCTCGCCTTTTTCTGCAGAGGAGGAGAAGTGCTGCTTTGGAACACACTGCTCAAGCTGGATCGATTGATACCCCCACCATTACTCTGGGATGTTCCGTTCTCAAGCTACCGGTGTTCTGACAATATATGCTGCCTTGTCGGAAAATGCTACCATAGCGCAAATCAATTGCAGAGTCTATGGAGTCGCTCTGCCCTGTCGAAAAATGCTACCTTATGTGTTCTCATTTCCAGTCCCATAAAGATTTTTTTATATTGCTGACGACCAGCCACTGTCTCGACGGCAGATTTATGGGCGTGGAAACAGACCACGCTTTTGGATCATACGCATGTGCAGAACCGCTAAGTAGCACATCTCGATAGTTAGCCTAAATCAACAGTACACATGCACACATGGGAGTGCTTTTGGTGACAGGAATGTTGAATATTCACTGTTTTTATCAATATTTCAATGTTATGTTATTTGGAATGTGGTTGTATGGACATAAAAGTGTTTTAAAGATAACTCCCAATAAAAGTCAACATTTTGTACAGTAAACTTTGCCAAAATATGGACATTGGCCTGGTATATTTTGAAAATATTGATAACTGTTGTATTTTAGTTTATTTTCATCAAATTTGCAGTTACAATTGCATTCCAGGTGTATTAAAATATATTCAGTTGCATTATAATCTATCCTATTATGGTTTTTATGGTTTATTGCATTAAAATATAGTTTTTTTTACCAGTCGAGGAATGTGAAAGAAATATGAAAATATCATATTTTTTGTTTATTGCATCTCCATTTAGTCTGTAATGGTAATCCTTAGCTTCGGACCTTTCAAAGGAGACCAGAATTATGCATCTAGGCCAAATGGTTGAGGAGTTATTCCTGATTCATTTTGGGTATGTTATTTAAGGCGTTTCGTCTGTTTCCAACAGGATATATTAATATCTAGCAAGTATTGATATCTATTATTTAAAGGGGCTATACTTAAATTTATCAGTAGAGTAGATGATGGATCATAAGCCAATACGAGCACAGTTGATCCAAATCCAGTACCAGCACAGACCCAGACCAGACCTCTTCACCAGGTCACACCAGACCCAGGTGAAGTACAGGCAGCCTCAGCCAGTATGAGCACAGCCAGAGATGTGGAGCCAGAAGCAGTCTTAATTAACATCATGCAAAACGCCTATTCAAGTCATATCCAAAGTAAATTGAATGTAGTTCTTGAACCACTTGGGGTATATGCATGGTTTTGGGCTTCTCTGAAAGATAACTCTCTGGAGTGTCAAATCCAAAAGTCAGAATGATTGTAAGTGTTCCTGGAATTGATTAATATCATCATAATAAGTTTAAACACTCAAAGGGCAACTAAAGTCAATGTAACTAAACTAAAATTAATATACGGGGCGGCTGTGGCTCAGGAGGTAGAGCGGGTTGGCCGTTAATCAGGAAGGTCGGCGGTTCAATCCCTGGCTCCCCCTGGTTGTGTGTCGAAGTGTCCTTGGGCAAGATACTGAACCCCGATTTGCCCCTGGCGGCTATTCCGCCAGTGTATGAGTGAGTGTGAATGTTAGTTTCCGTTTGAGCACTTAGGCTCAGTGTTTGACTGGTGAATGCAGATGTAGTGTAAAAGCGCTCTGAGTGGTCGAAAAGACTAGTAAGTAATTTTTTTTTTTCTGCTTTAAAATGCTTGCTTACAAATGCATGCAGACAACTATAGCTGGGACACTGTAGGACCACAGGATAAAGCATTACCTAGTCCTAGTTTAAATTTCATACCAATACCATGAAAAATTACTATTTTACACAGGTTATTCTAAGTGTATTGAATTGAATTTATTGAAGGATAGTCCCTTGAGATGCAGCATCTCATTTTCAAGGGGGACCCCCTTGAAATCCTGTATTTGTGTAATCCTATTACACAAATACATAATGAACAAATACAAAACAGAACATTACAAAACTACATATATTACACATACACATAACTCGCACACCACTCTCACCCACACCCAACAACACCCACAGTTAGTACAAGGAAAAATAACAAAATAAAACAATCATATAATTAACTATACTAAACATTTAACCCAAAGTAGATCAAATTATTATTTACTCTGTATGTAAGCAAAATGTATAACAAACTAACATAGTTACCTGATGGCATTAATAACATGAACAACCAGTTTTAAGCGACAGAGCTAAAGACGACAAGAAGCCCCGAAAAGTGCTGATAGATCTTAGGGAAGGATGAAGATTATTCCAATCACATGGTGCTTTATAATGAAATGATTTCCGTCCAGCTACAGTAAAAGTTCTTGGTACAATAAAGAAGGGATGTTGCATCTGTCTGAGTGGATAAGGAACTATACAAGGAACTAAAAATTGTTTCAAGTATGGAGGACAACTAAAGTAAACACATTTGAAAATATCCAGTGAAATTCACTTCTTGCTTTAGGCTGTAACAAGTTAAGTGAATCATACAAAGAGCAGTGATGTAAATGGACACCACATCACAAATCTACAAAGTAGTGAGAGTAATGCAGTATCAGGTGTGACTGTGCAAATTGTTTACTTGGCTCACAGGTAACATAGCATACATTAAATAGGTATGTGTGCTTATGCTCCGGTCAAATCCCTTTCTGACATTACCAATATTAATGAGATAAGCAAGGGAATCACATACTAACACATTTCATACACTTCAATCAAAAATAAATCAAAAATGTACATGAGGGATGTGGGGGCCTGTGCCCCAGTAGAGCTTTATGTCTAGCAACGCACCTGGTCAGTCCTGTCTTTACTGAGCATTTCTTTTACTCAGTAATTTAAAATGTAGCAGTAGAATATTTCAAACAAAACATACTTAAGTAAAAGTAAAATTACATATTATAAAAAACGACTTTAAAAAGTATAAGTACAAAGAACAACTGCTCAATTATAGTAACGGGAGTAATTCATTGCTTTCCATCTCTGCATATGCTTTACTTGCATCCACACATATGAAACCCACAGCTTGTTGTCTAAAAATTTGGTGCAGACAGGTAGAGTGTACTGGCTATTGAATATTGACAGCATGTTGCTGCTGTGTCATGTGTTTGTCTTGCTCAGAGTGAGCAAGTGCTGTTTTTGTGCTGTGTCCTAACCAACCACATGAGATCTTGATTGTAACGGCAGAGGAGAAATCCTGTTTTTCACCAATTATTGACTGACTCCAATGAGCTTTTTAGGACTCCCAAGTTTCTGTTTCTGGACTCCAAAGTGACTGCTGTTCAGGGAAAGTTGCATGGTCTCGCTTTAAAATGAGCAGATTTCAAGGTGCTAATTCACTTTATACATTCACAAGAGAGCTTGATGAGAAGCCAAAATAACGGATTTATCATTTGGAGAAACAAAGAAAAAACAAAACAAAACATTATTTTCCGTTCCACAAAAAGTTGGACTTGAACACATCTGTCCTGTTTGTTTATTCAGGGTGATCTGGCAGTGAGCAGAGCGGCTCTTGATTCCAGGCAGCAGTGTTATGTGTTTGAAACAATGGCACCAACAACGCCACCTTCCTGGCTCAGACATTGGAGACTCCAGCAGCACGACCATCATCAACCACAGCACCAGCACAGCTGCCAGCAACCTACCAACTACCAGTGGGGGCGCTCCTGCTCACTCCCCCTTCTTCTTCTTCCATCTCCACATTTTCTCTGTGTGAGAGAATCTGAATGGCATCTGCTTTCTCTCTAAAATGAAGAGTATAGAATGAATAAATGAATGAAAATGAATTGTTTAAGCAGCACCGAACAAATGTAGGTATATGTATCCTGGCGTACCAGCGTGTCATGGTTTTTGAACGATCCCGATGTTATGCAAAGACAAATTGATAATTTGTCATTTACATAAAACTTCCCCCTCAAATAAGTGAAAACAGGATGGTGTTTATTGATTACATTGCAGATAGGATTAAACTAATGCTGTCATTGAATTTCCTACAGTCGTTAACAAATGGATTGAAAAATGTCAGTGTCAATTTTAAGTCTTGTCAAGCTTTCTCATGGCAAACAACTGTCCTGTAGATGTGAAAGTGCTGAACTATTAACCCCTTTGACTTTTATTATCATGATAACCTGCTTTTTAATTAAGGGAAATCTTCTCTGTCGGCTTTGTGCACATGTATGAACTCATTGCAGTCTAATCCAAATGTCCTGCAGTAAATCCTCCTTCATCATGGTAAATAATCTGTTTGTGTTGAAACTGTTTGTGTCCAACTATTTTTGGATGATGTATGACCTCTAGTGGTTGTAAGACGTAACAAAGGAGGAAATCAAATTAAAACATTTTTGTAATTAAAGCTTTTTGTGGTCACAATGATAAAAACTGCACATTTAAAATCGGAGTTATGTGGTCGTACTTCCTAGTTTGGCTTAATAACCTAGCAGCTGAGTTCTGCACTAATTGTAGGCGGTTCAGAGTTTTTTTTTAGAGTACGGGCTGCTGCAATAGTCTAGGCGAGACTAAATAAAAGCATGTAAAACAGTTTCTGCATCTCTGGCAAGCTTTTTGTTTGCGATTTGTTGTTCAAATCAGAGATTACTATCAAAAAGGACACCAAGGTTTCTGGTAACAAGCGTAATGTGGGTAGGCAAGTGACCGATAGAGGGTCTAATCTGATTAGTAGCATGCTGAGGACCAATTAGGAGGATTATTGTTTTGTTAGAATTGAGTTGCAGAAGGTTTATTGACATCCAGTCTTTTCTGTCAGCCAGGCAGGCCTGGAGGGAACGCAGCACACTGAGGTCAGTAGGCTTTACCGGGAGGTATAACTGAGTTTTGCGCGCATAGCAATGGAAGGGAATACCAAATTGGGGGACAATGTCACCCGGGGGGAGCATGTAAATGGAAAACAAAATAGGTCCAACGATCGATCCTTTTGGCACACCGTAATAGACAGGAGAAAAGGTAGATTTAAAGTTATCAATAGACACACAGTACTTCCTGTTTGACATAAATGAGCCAAACAAGTCCAATACCGTGCCAGAGATGCCCACACAGCGCCTCTGTCAATCTAACAAGATGCCATGGTCGATTGTGTCAAAAGCAGCGGATAAGGCACCAGAATTAGTAGGCATAGAAATAGCAGGCCATTGGTAATTTTTAGGAGAGCGGTCTCTGTGCTGTGGTCTGGGTGACAAGAGAAATAGTGTGTTCTAGCGTCTTTCACCATTGTATTATAGCAGATTAAAAGCTCTTTCATAGCTGTGAAGTGTACTTGGAGACCAGATTTCTTCCATCTGCGCTTGGCTCTTCAACGTTCCCATTTACAGTTTCTAATAGTGTCCTTTAGCCAAGGCTGCTGAGCAGATTTTGTCTAAGATCTAGCTTTCAGGGGAGCTATAAAATCTAAGGTGGACGAGCATAAAGAATTAAATAAATTAACTAGATTATAAGTATTATTAGTATCACGTCAATTGTGCGAAGAAGGACAGGCGGTTCCAGAATAGGTCAAAATTGTGGATGAAACCACTGGCGTTAATGTCCAGACAGTAACGTAACTGGTAAGTCCAGTTTTGCAATATAAACATCTTAAAACTGAAGCACTTTATCTGAGCTGGATTGTGGATTGTGGTGGGATTTCTACCTGATCAGTGTTTTTTGTTGGTTTTGGTTTCACATGTAGCTTGCTGTCCCAAACTGTGTCGATCTAACAGTCTAATGGGGATAGGCTATATACCAGCAGATCAATAATGTAATGCACAGCAGAGTAGAGGCCAGCTAGAATTAAAAATATTATGAAATTGTCATTAAATGATGACACTAGTCTCATAATATTGTGATTTTTTTCTGGACATGTCAGATAACACAGATATGTGGGAGACATTCTGAATGTGCAGAAAGTTTTAAACATGAGCAGAATACCTTCTAAAACACATGAGCTATTAAAGTCTAGGAGTTTATAAATTAAAATGAATTAATTTATCATTGAGATGAAAAGGTCCCACGTAGTTCTATTAAAAGAGGTAATTTCCCCAAACAGAGACTCAAAAGAGAAGGCAAGGCCAAGCATGTGTGGCCTATTAACTCAGCAGGGATTTTATTAAATTAGAAAAGTTGATCTGCAGGAGAAAACAATAGCATACATGCCTGAAAGCCATATATTATAAATTTTAATATTTTGAATTGTCACATACCGCCCAATGTGTTTCGCTTTATATAGATGGAGATGAACCATAAATTGGTGCAGAAATATTCATCTGAATGCAGGAAATTAAGTCTTTAACGCTTACAATTTCAAATCTCGCCTCAACACTGTCAGGGCCGGCCCTGAGTAGCACATGGATCATGCGTAAAACAGGAGCGTTGGGACTCATCCAGCCAGAGGGAACAATCAACGACAGAGTGGACAGAGTCAGGGAGAGGAGGTCACAGAGCCGCCCGACGCTGTGGACAGTCAGTGATCGTTCCCTCTGGGTGAAGCCCGATGCTCCTCATTTTACGCATGATCCATGATGATATGGAAGATTTAGAAACAAATCGCAAAAATAGCATGTCATGGGTTACTAAGAGGAGCCAAGCTCCCCTGTAGTTTACACCCTGCTTGTACCACAAGTAGTTTTCATAGTTTGGTAAGATGCTTTGCTCAAATTAGCCAAAAAGACATTGTTGCACGACATGTTAATGTTGGTTGGCATTAGCAACCTGCTGGTAAATAATTATTATGCTTAGGCCTATGAAGTCCTTGACTCACTCTGGACAATAAACTGAAATTTGATCATTAACCACTGACACTTTCAAATGCTGCCAACAAAGACTCTCTGCCATCCGTAAAGAAAATCTATTTCGGTTGCTCCCCACCTTCTACTGCTGCTCTACAAAAGCATAATTCAACCCATCCTTCTTTATTGTTCAATCTGTTATTTCAACATACTCACTGTGACCAATAAGAACAAATTTACACGCATCACAAATAATGCCTCCAAAATAAGTGGACTCCCCACACCCAACCTCTCTGACCTCAATAGGAAAGCCATTTTACGGAAAGCACACATAATAGCACTCAGAACAGGCCTCGCCATGGTCGACCAAAGAAGCTGAGTGCACATGCTCAGCGTCATATCCGGAGGTTGTATGAGTGCTGCCAGCATTGCTGCAGAGGTTGAAGGGGTGGGGGGTCAGCCTGTCAGTGCTCAGAGCATACACCACACACTGCATCACATTAGTCTGCATGGGTGCCTCTTCTAAAGTTGATGCACAAGAAAGCCCTCAAACAGTTTGCTTGAAGACAAGCAGACATGGATTAGTGGAACCATGTGCTGTGGTCTGATGAGATTGTGTCAAGCGTGTGTGGGGGCAACCAGGTGAGGAGTAAAAAGACAAGTGTGTCTTGCCTCCAATCAAGCATGGTGTTGGGAGGGTCATGGTTTGGGGCTGCATGAGTGCTGCTGGCACTGGAGAGCCACAGGTCTTTGAGGGAACCCTGAATGCCAACATGTACTGTGACATACTGAAGCAGAGCATGATCCCCTCCCTTCGGAGACTGGGCTACAGGGCAGTATTCCAACATGATAACGACCCCAAACAAAGAAGCTGAGGGTAAAGGTGATGGACTGGTCTCATGTCTCCAGACCCAAATCCTATTGAGCATCTGTGATGACGTCATGGAGGAGTGGAAGAGGACTCCAGTGGCAATCTGTGAAGCTCTGGTGAACTCCATGCACAAGAGGTTTAAGGCAGTGATGGAAAATAATGGTGTGGCGCAGTGTTTTTTTTTTAATTTTAATTACCTTTTGCTTCAGAGATTGTTGAATTAAGGAAATATTTTGTTTGAACTCATAAAAGGCAAAAAGCAAAGGCTTTTATCAGTAACATCATTATTTACAGATATGACATTTGAATTTCTTGTGGCACTCCCTCTATCGATACAAAGATTTAAAACATTTATATTCATGTTATTGTTATCGCATTATCTTCTATCAGTAGGGTGAACGAGTACTAGCGAATCACAGCACAGTCGGGCAGAATTTGCCGCGCTCACAGCTGGCATCAAATCACAAGGACCCATGCAAGTGGCGAGTAGTAGCCAATCACAGTACAGTAAAGTGAGACTTGTCGTAACTCTGGCAGGGGAAACAATTACGCTGCATTCGAAAAGTATGACTCAAATGTTTTTTATCCTTACATGAAGTTTGTGTTGGAGTCTGTGTGTTAGTGGACGTCTTGTTGTTATCTGCAGTGCTGTCGCTGTGCCTTCATGCAGAAAATCCAACCGGATTTCTTTACATAGGATACAGCGTAGTGGCTATTACAAGGGACCAAGAAAGCAGGTGTGTGCTTAATTTTTATGTGTGATTACAACCTGTTCACCAACAGGCAATAAAAAGTGGTTAATTAATAAGTGATTTCTATTTAAAACCTACATAAAGCCCCTTTAAGTTTTTTTGCTGTCACACTAAACAAATGCACATTAACACAAATAACATAGCAGCCCAGCATAAATCTACATTGATTCAATGTTGTAAAACAATAAAATATAAACACAGGGGGTGAATACTGTCCTGTGCATGAAAACACTCACCTCTGTCACGATCCTTTCTGCCATGTCATGTTTTGTACTTTTAGTCAGTTTTATTATCTGTTGTTTTGGTCTGTTGGGTTTTGGGGTTTTGTCTTGTCTGTCGTCTAGTGTTTAGTAACCTTTGTCATGTCTGTTACCCCAGTGATCCCTCTGCATGTCTGTCTCTGTTTTCCCCTCTGCTCTCTCTGCCTACCTGTGCCTCGTTAGTCTCATGTCTGTCACCTGTGTTGCTCCCGCCCTGCTCGTTAGTCCCTGTGTGTATATACCTGGTGTTTCTGTCTTGTCTTTTGTCGGGTCATTGTATGCTGTCTCCCTGTGTCGCGTGTAGCTGCTCTGTTTGCCTGCTTGTTGTCACCCTGTTTTCTGTGGATTTGGATTTTGAGCTCAGCCACTCTTTGTAAGTGTGCTCACCTTTAGTTCGTTTATTAAAACCCTTGAACTGTTCCTGCACCTCTCTACGTGTCCTGCATTTGTGTCCTCCAACCTACTACCTGCTTCACCACCCACTTACCGTGACAACCTCCCTGACATTCAGCCATACATTTGTTATTTTTGGACACTTGTTTGTCTTGTTAAAATAAACATCTGAGCCTTTTACAAAGCCCTGCTGAGAGACATACTTGAAGTGATGATGCACAGAGACTTCATAAAAAATGTGACATTTGGCCTTTATGTTGACACTGATTACTGGTTCATCTTGTTCCAAATCAAGTTCATTTTATCGCAGGAAGCCTGAAGCTGTTTGACCAGTTCATTCCTGAGCAAGCAGCAGGATTCCTCACTGCTTCAGTCCAGCTGTCAGGGAGGAGATAAAAGGTCAATCAGTATCATTCAGATACAGCGTCATCTAAAAGAATAGATTTTTGATGTGTATTTCCTTCATATCTTTATGATGAATCCTATGGAAGAAATGAAACGTGTCATTATTTGAAACATCCGTGTGTAGGGCCCTAACCAGCATGAATTTAGCTCCACCTCGTCCATCTTCAACCTTAAAATGCTGCTTTTTATTTTAAAAAATCAATTATAGAAATAATAAAACATTTACAATAACAACCTGTATTGTATACAACAGTATATTTAGCTGATAATACTGCTATTATTTCTTCAACATATTAATAACAACAGAAGGGCTCTCCTTCCACTGCTGTGTAAATCTAACAAAAATAATACCAAACATCATGTTGCTGAATTTCAGTTGATTTTTAATATAAATTAAGTCAAAGACTACCTTAAAGGACGTTAGCAATCTAAATATTGATGGGTTGTAAGATTATTAATGGGGAAGGAAAGAAGAAAAAACAGTTCTTATAATAAAAAAAAAAAAAAACTGTTTTCAGACACATCTGAAACATAGGAGACACAACTAGATACAGATTTTTATAAGGGGCCAGAAAACAAAAAAGGTTTAACCTGTACCAACGCATTATTTGTTCTTCATTATTTTTCAAGATTTATCGTGTTGGTTTTAATGGAAAATCTTAATCTAAAAAGTTACTACAGGTTGTATAAATGTCAAAAGTACAAAAAGGTAATGATCCCTGTAAAATGTAGTACATTTGGAGTGGAAAGTATAAGATAGTATCAAATGGAAATACTCAAGTGAAGTGCCCAAATATTGTACTTAAGAAAAGTACTTGAGTAAATTTACTTACCTTAGAGATAGTGACACGTGTTGGGAGTGTCATTGGACAGGTGTGTTGGTGGTAGACTGAAGAGGAGGGAAGATAAGAGAAGGAGGGGACAAGAAGGTTATTTATGCCGGTGCAGATCTGATCATATCTACTTACAGCGATGGCTTTCTACAAAGTGTTCTGTGTGGCAGCTCTGCTGACTCTCCTGACACAAGGTAAGGACCCTCCTCCCTGTGCACACTTGAACCAATCATGTTTGACATCTGATAACTGCTGTATGAGGAGGAAGTAGAATCTTTTAATTAAGTAAGAGTAGTTGTGAAGCATCACACACAAATACAAATCCTGCATTCATATTAAACTTTTTACAAAACTGTAGCAATAAAATATACAAAACCAAAGTGCTCGGTGGATCCACTGTTGAGTAAATTCTCTTAAAGTCACTGTGTCATCTGTTAGATTTTTGGGGAAAAGATGGGAAAAACAAACTATTTCAATCTGCAAAGTGAGCAGTAACTATAGTAATAAAAAGTTTTGCACTGAACTCATAGCTTCTTTTAGCCTGATTTAAAACATTGCCTGGATACATTAAAGTGAAATAACAAACATTCTGTTCATAGCAGATAATCATAGTAAAGGAGTTTAGGAAGCAGCTGAGTGAAATAACTGCTATATTTCCTGTCAGTAATCAGTGTTTGCGTTCAGCCCACATGAATACCTTTTGCATAGCTTTGTGTTTTGCCTTATAAAGTTGTCACATCATCACTTTTCAACTTTACCAGAATCAGCACAACCTCAGCTCTCACTCAACTCAACCTTTATTTCTCACACACTCTAATGGGGAATATTTCTACTTATTTCATAGAAAACAGCACTTGTTTCCGCACTGTTACTGTTGTGTAACAGGAAAACAACGGGTTGTCCAGCTCAAACTGTCAAGGATTGACATGATGCCTTCTGAACTATACCACAGCCTTTCTTAAAGTTTCTGTATTTATTGCAGGTCTACGGAAGCGCATTGCATTCACCAAAAAAAAAAAAATTGGAAGCCTTATCTCATAATTATGAGATCAGGATGTTGTAATTACGAGATCAGGATGTCGTAATTACTAGAAAAGATGTCACAATAACGAGATAAGATGTCACAATAACGACATTACGTAATTATGACATCTTTTTAGGGCCCGAGCACGACCGTGCGAGGTCCCTATTGAATTTGCTCGGATTATTTTTTTTTTTTTTTTTTTTTTTTTTTTTTTTTTTCTTTTTTCTGCAAAGTAGGCCCAAATGACATGGCCTAAACATACTCGAAAACTCACCAAAATTTGCAAACATGTCAGAACCGGTGAAAAATTTCGTATTCTACAAGTTTCGCACATGGGCGTTGCAAAATGACTCGCTAGCGCCACCTAGAAAATTGGAAAAAATTAGCCCCTCGTTCACGTTCAACCTACATCTACGAAATTTTCTGGGGACATGTATCATGTCAAGACGCACAAAAAAGCCTCAAGAACCCATAGCCTAAAGTCAACAGGAAGTCGGCCATTTTGAATTTTATGGCCATTTTTGGATGATTTACATACTTCGTACTTTAACGAACTCCTCCTAGGGATTTAGTCGGATCGACGTCAAATTTCTGCTGTGCCTTCTAAAGGCATTGACGATGAAAAGTTGTGCTATTTGCGCGTTTTCATCAATGGGCGTGTCCGTGGCGTCGATGATTCGCTATGAAACAGGAAGTTGTTGTAACTTCAGTGTACATGCTCACATCTGGACCAAACTGTACATGTAGGATGAGAGTCCCGCCCTGAACACATGTACATGCCGACATTCACCCACAGTCATAGCGCCACCTGCTGGCAACAGAAAGTGACCTTTAACGAAGCAGCCCCCGCCGCACGTTTCACCTACGTGCACGAATTTTCTGTGGTACATGTATCTTGTCCAGACGCACAAAAAAGCCTCTTGGAGCCATAGCCTAAAATCAACAGGAAGTCGGCCATTTTGAATTTTACGTCAAATTTTGGATGATTTACACACTTCGTACTTTAACGAACTCCTCCTAGGGATTTAGTCCGACCGACCTCAAATTTGTGCTGTGCCTTCTAAAGGCATTGAAGATGAAAAGTTGTGCTATTTGCAAGTTTTCGTCAATGGGCGTGTCCGTGGCGTGGCGTCAAAGATCAACTCTTCGCCATGACACGGAAGTTGTCGTAACTTCAGTGTACATGCTCACATCTGGACCAAACTGTACATGTAGGATGAGAGTCCCGCCCTGAACACATGTACATGCTGACATTCCCAGACAGTCATAGCGCCACCTGCTGGCAACAGGAAGTGACTTTTAACGAAGCAGCCCCCGCCGCACGTTTTACCTACGTGCACGAATTTTCTGTGGTACGTGTATCTTGTCCAGACGCACAAAAAAGCCTCTTGGAGCGATGCCCTAAAATCAACAGGAAGTCGGCCATTTTGAATTTTACGTCAAATTTTGGATGATTTACACACTTCGTACTTTAACGAACTCCTCCTAGGGATTTAGTCCGACCGACCTCAAATTTGTGCTGTGCCTTCTAAAGGCATTGAAGATGAAAAGTTGTGCTATTTGCAAGTTTTCGTCAATGGGCGTGTCCGTGGCGTGGCGTCAAAGATCAGCTCTTCGCCATGACACAGAAGTTGTCGTAACTTCAGTGTACATGCTCACATCTGGACCAAACTGTACATGTAGGATGAGAGTCCCGCCCTGAACACATGTACATGCTGACATTCACAGACAGTCATAGCGCCACCTGCTGGCAACAGGAAGTGACTTTTAACGAAGCAGCCCCCGCCGCACGTTTCACCTACGTGCACGAATTTTCTGTGGTACGTGTATCTTGTCCAGACGCACAAAAAAGCCTCTTGGAGCGATGCCCTAAAATCAACAGGAAGTCGGCCATTTTGAATTTTACGTCAAATTTTGGATGATTTACACACTTCGTACTTTAACGAACTCCTCCTAGGGATTTAGTCCGACCGACTTCAAATTTGTGCTGTGCCTTCTAAAGGCATTGAAGATGAAAAGTTGTGCTATTTGCGAGTTTTCGTCAATGGGTGTGTCCGTGGCGTGGCGTCAGAGATCAAGTCTTCGCCATGACACAGGAAGTTGTCGTAACTTCAGTGTACATGCTCACATCTGAACCAAACTTTACGTGCTTGATAACTCTCCCACCCTGCTATGGAGGACCGATCCTGACACAGTCAGAAATAAATACAGAAATAAATAAATGCTCAATAAATAAATAAGCATCCAATTAAATACACAAAAAAATTAAGTAAATAAATAAATGTAGGTAGTAATTAAATTATACAAGGAGACATAAATGTATATATTTTAATTAGTGCCTTTACTTATTCACCTTTGTTATAATTACCTTATTTGTTTATTCAACTTTATTTATTACTAATTTTTTTAATGTATTTATTTATGTGTGTTTTAATATTTTTGTCTGTTTTATTCTTCCTTTGTATTTATTTACCTTATTTATTTTCACCCATGGTATTTATTTCTGCCTGTCTTAAATTTTTGTATGCATTTCTGCCTCATTATGCAAATGAGGAGGGGCTGTGTCTCAAGGGGTCATCTTCTCTGCTATTGGTGGACCAGTCAGACAGGAGAGCTCCTACTCTGCCTGCAGACATCAACGATCTTGCCCCTCACACAGTCAGATGGCTTCCTTCAGTGCGCTGAGGTGTTTAACAACTCTGAAGACAATACTACCAGCAATGTCTTCCTTCTCTTTTCACGTAGAAGCACCGACAGACAGTGCTTTCAGTTTGCTGCATGCATGGACACAGAACTGCGGTATAGGGAGAAGCACACGGTCAGCTGGCTGCAGCTAAATCTGGAGTGCACTCGTATTCAATTCTGTATGGTAAATTCAGTTTTAACGGAGCAGAGCGAGCTGACAGGCAGAGTTAGAGACTTTTTCTGTCCGTTTCTCTCTTTACAAAGACGCATGTTGCAGTCAGAGTCTTCTCTGAGATGCGAGCACGACATACAACACAATTTATCAAATTACACAACGGATATACAGTATGAAAATAAGATTGATTGGATTATACTCACAGGAAGTATAAAACCTCTTACATGGGTCTATTAAAAGTAAAGTAACACAAAAATGTCAGGGAAATTACTTTACTTAGATTTAAGTACTGCAGTTGTACATTTGAAATACCTTCCTACCTTTCTGATAGGAAGCCTTCTTGAGGTGGTATAAAACATTTCTTCTTATATTCTGATTTGAGTTGTGGACAACTATGACCACATGAATTAAAAAAACATTTCACTGCCCAAGTCAGCTATAACACAAGTCTTGATCATCAGACTACATGCTGTACAGTATTTGTGGACAGATTTTGTCCCAGGATTTCTTATGCATTTCTTCTTCTTCGTTGCATGATTTAGAATAATAAGGTGAGAAATGGGTCTATTCTGAGTTCATCCTGCACTGCAGCAGCTAATAAAGTCCATTTAATCCCAAAAACGCTTTTCTTTTAGGCAGGCTGGAGCAGAAAACAACTCACCTTTCTCAAGTTGTACAGTAATGTCACATGTGTATGAAGGTGGATCAAAAGAGCTAATCTTAAATGTCAAAGTAGAGAGGAGCCTAGTAGGCCTATTTATTTTCATTCATTACACAATATGAATAAGCTATGCAGACAGTTGTAAAGAAAGAACATCTTTTTCTTCTGTTCTCTACTTGTTATAGTTACACAGTATTAGGGGTGTGGGCTGTATTAAAAGTATCCACTGTTCTCCCATGCTCTAACACACAGTAACGATGAAATGTGTGCTGTTCTCACATTCTTCCTCTGTATGTACACATAAACAACAAGGCAGGGAAATATAAAAGGAATTTATTTTATTGTTTGGGTACATTATTGTTCAGTGTACATGTTCACATCTGAAACAAACTTTACGTGCTTGATAACTCTCCCACCCCGCAGACATCTACACGTCAATACCGATTTATATTCATAGCGGCAAGTGCTATGTAGCTCCACATAGGGGACACAGGAAGTGACACATAGCACATTCATGCGGCGTCGGAAACGCGTAGGAAATTCACAGCCGCACCGGCAGAACTCCAGAATGTGCAACTCGGCCGGCTCACGCGCGGACGCGCTTACAAGTGCGAGGGCCCGCCCAACGCTGCTTGCAGCTTTAATCTGTACTTGTAATTGAGTAAGTGTTTTTAATAAATTTACAAGGGATCATACAGCTAATAAATTAATGTCTGGATGACTTTAATGTATTGTATAATTAAAGGCAAATTAGTTCTTACTGTTATAAAGACCATTCAGGTCCCACATATTAGCATCATCTATACTTAACATTTTAAGCCAAAACAGAAAACATTTACATATTTAGAGACAAAAATAATCAGGTTTTGATGGCTAAAATCTAAATAATTGACAGACACTAAAATCATCAATGCCAGTTAATACTAATCAAAAACATGTAATTGATTTTTTGTTTTCGTTTTTACAGTAAAGAGAAGACAGGAAATAAGGGGAGAAAGGGGAGGGATTACATGGTCCCAAATTAGACTAAAAACAGCGACGGGACGGTGATGCATTACGGTTGTAAATACCGTACTGCATGGTAGCGTCATGGTTGTTTATAAAACGGCAATGTTATAGAATTGTGATCACAGGAGTACCACTCTTCATAAAGAGTAAACTGACCTTCATGTGTAAAATCAGTGGAGGGCCCCTTTAACTTCTGCTGCTGTCATGTTTTTGTGACATTAAGGCATCATCAGGGACTGGAGCAATAACAGTAGTAACAGTGAGGAAACTTATTAGTGGCAGCAATAAGATAAGCAGCAGCAGAACAAGATACGTTCATTTCAGCCTGTCCTCACTAGAAAAAATAGCCATAAAGGCCGATTGTTCAAGCAGCTGATTAAGACCCATATTTACAGTTATAGTTAGGCTGCGACCTCTAGTGGTCATAAGACGTAGCAAAGAAGGAAGTCAGCTGACACTCAAATGTTGGTGACTGAAACCTTTTTTGGTCTTAAGGATCATTTTCTGTTAGCTGAGAGTTGACATGGTTAAAAGTGTCACTTGTCAAAAATCTATCAAATAATCAAAATCTATTTACTTATAAATTACAGATAACATAATAACAGATGATCACAAAATTATTACCTTGTAAATATCATATGTCAATGTAGAATTAGCGATATCAGGAAATATAAATACAATGCTGTGTTTTATTGTTTGTTTTCTATTTTCAGAGTGTCACTCACAACTAAGCGGTAAGTTTCCTGTTCATCTGTCTTTTGGGACATTTTTAACACGTTTTTGTGTCGTAAAAGTTTTGTTTATAGTTTTATTATTGTTACTATTTACTGTCAACCCTGCATTGCTCATTCTGTGTCTTTCTTGTCTCTCTCCTCAGTGTGTGGTAAGCCTGCGCTCAACACCAGGATTGTTGGAGGACAAGTGGCCTCTGCAGGCAGCTGGCCCTGGCAGGCCAGTCTGCGAAACTCTGGGTCCCACTTCTGTGGAGGATCCCTCATTAACAATCAATGGGTGCTGACTGCTGCTCACTGCTTCTACAGGTAAGCAGTGAGGGTCGGTACGCGACAAAAAACAACATCGTTCAGCTTTGCCCTAAGTAACTTTAGAGCTAACCTGCAGGTCTCATTTATAAACGATGCGTACATACAAAACAGGGCTGGAAACGTGCGTACGTTGCTTCCCAAGCAAAGAGTCGTCAACGGCTTATTCTGCGTACAGGAGCCAATACCAGCTTACATTGGGCGAAAGGCAGGGTACACCCTGGACAGATCGCAGGGAGGAAGCTGTAGCACAAAACATTGGCTGTTACTCCCAGAAGCTAAATCTTCATCAGACAAGTTGTGTCAATCGTGCCATCCACTGAGATTAAATCTTAAATCTATTTGTCTTGGTTCTCTCTCCCTTTGGGGTTAAATAGTTTAATTCAGTTTACAAATTTGGACTGAGATACAGGGATAAACCTAAAGGTTGGCCGTATTACACTGTAAACCGGCAGAAAATGATTTATAATATAATGAGTATATAATACAAATTACTAACTTGTGGGAATGACATCTCCCTGTTGCCACATCTATCAGGCTCCATACAAACTAAACCAGACATTTCAGTTTTTCATGTCTTTGCACTGTTTTGTTTCTCTTCTGATTACAGCACAGGCATAACCACACGCACTCTGACTGTGTCTCTGGGTCGCCAGACTCTACAGGGATTGAACCCCAATCAAGTGACTCGCACAGTATCACAGATCATCATTCATCCCAACTATAACTCCAACACTAATAACAACGACCTTTGCCTCCTGAAGCTCTCCTCACCAGTGACTTTCACCATCTACATCCAGCCCGTCTGCCTGGCAGCCCCAGGCAGCACCTTCTACAGCGGCACTCCAGTCTGGGTCACCGGCTGGGGAACCATTGGAAGTGGAGGTGGGTCAGAAAGAACCTGGAGTACATTTTCAGAGATACACTGACTACAATGGCGACATTGAGACCCGTGACTCGTTCCAGGGTTCCCACCTGGGACCTGGCAGTGGTTCTCGAAGCGCTGGCTGAGGCCCCCTCAGTGGAGTCGGTGTCGGCTGAGGCCGAGCACCTGACCCTTAAGATGACCTTTCTCCTCGCTATCACCTCTCCAGATCTCCAGGCACTTTCGGTTTCTCCCCGATGCCTGGAGTTTGCCCCGGGGGAAGGTCAGGGCCATCCTGCACCCTTGTCCAGGTTATGTCCCTAAGGTTCCGGCCAGACTGGCAGGGTCCACGGTGCTGCAGGCTTTTCATCCCCCACCTCATTTGACGGCGGAGGACGGGAGACTTCATCTGCTAGTATTTACACTCTGAGGTCTTCCCGGATGAGGAAAGCAGACCAGTTGCTGGTGTGTTTCGGGTCCCCCAAGGCTGGGCTCCCCGCTTCCAAACACACCATCAGCAACTGGATCGTTCAGACTATTTCCCTGGCCTATCAGGTGCGCAGTTTGCCTTCACCTATGGCCATAAGGGCGCACTCTAATCGAGGCATGGCGGCTTCTAGGGCCCTCCTCGCAGGGGCGTCGCTCCAGGATTTGTGTGACGCGGCTGGCTGGGCCACCCCCCACACTTTTATCCAGTTTTACAGTCTGGACCTGCCTTCTGCACCCGGCACCCGTGCGCTCTCCTCCTAGCCGTGCCGTCAGGTTCTGCACGCTGGGGGCAGGCGGGGTTTTGGCGTGGCCTAAGTGGGTATCTTGTTCCCATAGTGTCATCACCAACGCAGTTCGAGTTCCCTCGAAGGGGAACGTCTCGGGTTACGTATGTAACCCTTGTTCCCCGAGAAGGGGAACGAGAGACTGCGTCGGTCAGCCACACCTCACCCCGCCTGGAGTGCCTTGCTTCATAGAAAGGGCTAATGTGTCCTATGTGCCGGCGTGCTTATATACCCCCTCCGGTTACGCCGTCACAAAGAATACTAAAGGATAGGAGTAGGGTTGGGCCGATAGACGATGGCAACGTCCATCGGCGATGGCTGCAGACATCATAATGTTGAGCCGTCATTGTGACTGACCACCCAACCCGCAAAGAAAAAAACATTAATTTTTCACATTATATTTGTGTCTCTTCAGTGTCCCTTCCATCCCCAGGAAACCTAATGGAGGTGCAATTGCCGATTGTTGGGAACAGAAAGTGTAACTGTAACCATGGAGTGGGCTTGATCACAAGCAACATGATGTGCGCCGGGTTAAGTGTTGGAGGGAAGGACTCCTGTCAGGTGATCTTTTTTGCACCTGTATTTGAGTCAGATTTCACCTTCTACAAAGAATTCTTCTACTAAATGTTTGTCTCTTTAAAGGGGGATTCTGGAGGTCCAATGGTGAGCAAGCAGGGCGGTCGATGGATCCAGGGGGGAATCGTCAGTTTTGGAAGAGACTGTGCCGAGCCTAATTTCCCGGGAATCTACACCCGAGTGTCCCAGTATCAGTCCTGGATCAACAGCCAGATCTCCAGTAACCAGCCAGGCTTCCTCACCTTCAGGTCCACTGGGACTGACGGTGACCTCAGCGTCACCTGTCCTGGCCTGCCACCAAAAGCCACAGGCTAAGGTAGTGCCTGCCTACCTTGCCATGTCCAGACTTAATTAGACAGAACTTACTTGGTCTAATAAATTTCTAGTATTTTTTTTGTTGGTATGTGTTGCTAATTTGACCACAGAGCCCTAAACGTCAATAAATGACGCAAAAGGGGTACCCAGGACGTTAAAAGGTTATGGCAAAGGGCCTTACCAAGCGTCAATATGTGACAAGTCGGGAGTGTGAATGTGTTCTTCCCTCAGGCATACCACATTTAGTAAAACAAAAAATTATATCCGTCTTACGTGTTTGTTCATGATTATTCTGGCGGTCCAATGATGTGTGAGCAGGGCGGCTCTTGTTTCTGTGCAGCAGTGTTCAAAATATCGGCTCCTACACCCCCACCAGTCAAACACGAGTAGATTCATTGATGGTCTTCACCAAAGTCAGTGCTTTGAGACCTTCCTGGCTTAGAGTTGGTCTTCACTCCAGCATCCAACACCACCAGTAACAACAGCATCAAACACAGCTGCCACTGACATACTATACATAATATACTACCAGTGGGGGCGCTCGCGCTCACTCACCCTTCTTCTTATAGATGTGACAAGCACGACTGAATCTAAACAACCTAAAATTTGAGAGACAGTGGAAGCTTAAAGCTGCATTAATTAATCTATGACTTGATTCTGCCTCTGTTGGTGACAGCTGGAGATCAAAAAAGAGATTCTGGATGCCACCTGCTTTCCTGCTTCACCTACTTGGAAATGAAGGGTTAAAAAATTATGAAAATTTAAGGAGCTATGTGTTGCTTTTCAATGAAATCACTTATTAATAAATCACTTTTTTACTATGGGCTCTAACCTCACTTAGAAATGAACCCCACGCCTGTTTTGTCTGTTGCTTGCAACAGCCACTATTCTGCTTCTTATGTGAAGATATTGTGTCGGGATGTAGCCCTGTGTGTGCTCCTGAGCCTCCTGCCAACTACAGCGACAACTCCTCGAAATACAGTCCACTAACACCCCAAATCACACTGACTTATTTTCCAGGAGGATTGTGCCAGTGTCTGCTGTCTGTTTCATAGTGTTACAGTTGCGGCAAGGCAAAGTGTGAAGGTATGAGAAGACACACAGGTCAGAGACTTGCGTGGGACTGTTTTCTTGACCCTGGTCCTGCTGATTTTGGGAACATTACAGCACGCTCCCGCAAAATGTGTATCCACTCCTGCCCACTCCCGCAAACACTGCGGCCTGTGGGCAGGAGGAGCAGGCGCACATACTCACTTTAATCTTCTTTTAAAATTCATTTGCTGATTCCGTCTTATCAGCACTACTGCGGGACCTGCAGTATATTTTTTAAGTATATTTTTTGCGATGAATACCAATGCTGCTCTCTAACACAGGTAACTAACAATAAATAAATATAAGTAAGGAGCAGTGCTGATTGTAAAGTCTGTCAGCAGCAGAAAGGAAAGACCCGTGGTATCTCTCCCTGACGCAGTGACGGTGCAGTGACCTCTCACTAAAGGAGCAGCTCAGGGTCCTCAGAGCATGACGTGGGATGTGTTCTCCATCACAGAGGATAATTTATCCACTATCCTCCTGTCTCCCTCCATCTCCACGGTGTCAAGGGAGCATCCAAGAACAGAGCTGGATTTCCTTATCAGACTGTCAAGTCTCCTCCTATCTGCCACCACAATGCCATTTCTCTAGCAGAACACTCCATAGAAAATGGAGGAACTCAGGACAGGACTATGACTCAATTCAATTAGCCCACCTTCAAGGCTCACTTCATGTAGCGTCACTGATGACCAAAGAGGTTTTTCACATTTCATGTGGGACAAATTTTTTTCAAGCCGTTACATGGCGGGCTAGAACAAAGTTGAATTATTTCGAACCCTTGTACGTATGCATGTTTAGCACAGTTGGTACTGTGCAGGGCTCCCGTTGGGAAGGTTCTAAGATCAATTCCAAAAAAGTTAAACAAATTGATTAAACAGACACTTTTGCACATGCGCACAATAAAACATGTGCTGCAATGTGTTTGTGTGTCCCGGCGTTTGATCCGCATTCATAACTGTGGATGCTTATTTTCATTTCTCTGAGGAAATTCAGGGGAATCCAATCACACGTTTACTGACGGCTTTTTCAGAGGTGTGTCAAGCAAGCCAGGGTCTCTTTTCAATGTCCTTCAGAACTCTTCAAAATAAAAGCTCTCAAAAAACTCTACATAAAGCATTGCTGCAAAAAAAATGTCTTGCACTTTTATTTTGGAGGCACAATAACTTAAGAGTAAGCGATTGTGTGAGTAACTGCAGCTGTCAATTAATTTTTTATTTTTCTGCTATCAAAACAATCTGGCAGTGGGGCAGACATTATTGCTGGCTGGATGCAATGTAATTTTTGGGCCTACATGGGCCCTCCATGCAGGTTTTGTACAACTCCACTGTTCAAACTCTCACTTACCCCTTAATCAGAATGCCCTCAGTGTGCAGTTCCCCACCTCTCTTATGCCTTGAAGAATAGGCGACCCTGACTGGCAAAGAGGGGAATCACCTAACTGCTCTCAATCATTGCTGACGAATCAGTCCCCACACCCTGTGCGGGTGATCTGAATGATCCTTATCAACCCAGAGGAATTTTGATACTGACTCAAAATTAATGGGAATAAAGAAAATGAAACTGCAGCATATACGTATAAATGAAAGGCTGCTACAATTGGTAATCAAAATTAAAGACATACACAGAAAATGTATTTTATGTGTGTCATTTTCTCCAGTAGATAGCTTTCATTTATACAACTGAACTTCAAAAGTATGAATGCAGCAGCTACAGCCAGTTTATTAGGTCCACCTAACTCAAACTAATGCAGTCTAGTTCAACAGTCCTGCAGTGAATCCTCCTTCATGATAGTTAAGTTCAATTTGTGTTGAAACTGTTTTACAGACTTGCTGGGGATTTCAGCATGGGGTCAGGTTTAGTAATTAGCTGAATATCAAATATATTCTAGCAATATGAATAAAAGTATTCATGTTCAAGATTATTCATTTGTCATTAATAAATATGGGGCACCACCCTGGAATCAGGGAGCAATAACCACATATGAACCAAGTTAGTCAAATTGGTTTGTCCACCTATAGGTGGCAAATAGAGAAGAGTGAATTTGTAGACTGGCCATGGTAACCAACACTTACTACAATGTTATACACAAAAAATAGCAGGCAATGACTTTTTAAAATTGTAAAATGGATTTATTTAACTTAAGCATAGATCAATGATCAACAACTTTAGATAACAAAACTTTTCTAATCAAAAAGGAACTACAAAAATGGTAACGTACACTGATGCTAGGCTGCTATGTATCTCAGGTTAGACCAGCTGTAGAGGTCGCATGGCGCGCGCGTGTGTGTGTGTGTGTGTGTGTGTGTGTGTGTGTGTGGAGTTAGTAATAATAATAATAATAATAATAATAATAATAATAATCTTTATTTGTAGAGCACTTTTCAAAAACAAGTTACAAAGTGCTTTAACAAGTGTAAAGACAATAATACTCAAGAGACAATAATACAAAAACAATACAAGATAAAAGCATGAAAACATTGAAAAGACTAAAATACACATTTAAGATAAATATAAAAATTTGTAAAATACAATAAAATAAAAGGGATAAAATAAAGTCAAATAAGATCAGGAAAAGCTCTCCTATAAAAGTATGTTTTAAGAAGGGACTTAAAAGAGTTCACTGACTCAGCCGACCTGATTTCCTCGGGCAAGCTGTTCCAGAGCCTCGGGGCCCTGACAGCAAACGCTCTGTCCCCTTTAGTTTTCAGTCGAGACTCTGGAACAGACAACAGACCTCTGCCCGATGATCTCAAGGTACGTGCTGGTGTGTATGGGACTAAAAGTTCAGAAATATAACAAGGCGAGAGGCCATGAAGAACTTTAAAAGTGATCAATAGAATTTTAAAGTCAATTCTAAAACATACTGGGAGCCTGTGTAATGAAGCTAAAATAGGAGTAATGTGGTCATATTTCTTTGTTCTGGTTAAAAGCCTGGCAGCTGAGTTCTGGACAGTCTGGAGTCGATCAATAGATTTTTGGGTTAAACAGGTGAAAAGGCTGTTGCAATAATCCAGGCGTGATTAGATAAAGGCATGTAAAATGGTCTCGGTGTCCTTAAAAGTTAACATAGATCGAATTTTTGCTATATTTCTAAAAACATGATTGAACAAGCTTTGTGGTGTGCTGCTCGAAATTTAAATTACTATCAAACCAAACACCCTGGTTCTTTGCCACAGGCTTAATGTGATTTACTAGGGAACCAGCAGATGGCAGTATTTGATTTGCCATCTGATGGGACCCGATGATCAGGATTTCAGTTTTGTCTGAGTTCAGCTGGAGGAAATTATTTGACATCCATTTTTTAACTTCACATGGGCAGTTGTTAAGTGAACTCAGTATTCCAGGGTCTGTTGATCTGACGGGCAAGTACATTTGTGTGTCATCAGCATAAATATGAAAAGAAATGCCATGTTTATGGATAATATGTCCAAGGGAGAAGCAGATACAAGGAAAACAAAATGGGTCCTAAGACCGACCCTGTGGCACACCCTATTTAACTGGACAGAACGAAGAGACATAGTTGTTTACAGACACGCAAAACTTCCTATTTGACAGGTAGGATGAAAACCATTCTAGGGCAGTACCAGAGATCCCCACCCAGTGCCTCAGTCTGTCTAACATGATGTTGTGATCAATGGTGTCAAAAGCAGCGCTAAGGTCCAGGAGCACCAGGACTGAGCACATGCCTTCATCAGCAGACATTAAAAGGTCATGGGTGACTTTAAGCAGGGCAGTCTCAGTGCTGTGGTACTTCCTGAAACCAGACTGAAACTTTTCAAATATTTTGTTATTTTCCAGTAGAGTGAGCAGCTGTTTGGACACAATTCTTTCTAGAATCTTTGCAATAAAAAGGCAGTTTTGAAATTGGTCTAAAATTATGTGGGAGGGAGGGATCTAAACCAGGTTTCTTTAAAAGTGGGTTCACGCAAGCTGTTTTAAAATAATCAGGGACACAACACGTAGATAGGGAGCTGTTGAAAACAGAGATCAAATGGGGCCCAAGAGAATCTATTACTTTCAGTAAAAACTTTGTAGGTATTACATCAAGTGGGCTGGAGGACACTCTCATTTGTGATACTGTTTTTAAAAGCTCAGACAAGTCGATGGGATAAAACTGATTAAAACTCTCTTGTTGCTGGTGAGGAACCTCTGAGTAAGAGGCCGCGGCGGTAATAGAGGGTCTGATTGACACCACCTTATTGGTAAAATAAGATAAAAACAATTCACAGTCATCATTACTTCCAGCTGAGGCAATCACCCAGTAAACAGGAAGGACGAGAAGAAAGGCACAAAGAAGCAAGTTTACAGGAACACCAGAAATCAAATTTACTGTGGCAAACAACAGCTACCACTTTATCAGACAGGAACTGGTAGTGAACCTTACATTCAGCAACCATGTTACTAGACCTGATGAAAATACTGATATACTGTATTCACACAGTAGGGGGAACAAATTGATCGTAGCCCAGCGGAGTGGCACCGGACATAATCAATGTGCGAAGCAAGATGCAGCAGTCTTTAAATATCTCTCAAAATATTCTTATCAGAAGAAATCACCACATGAAGTTTGAGCAAGTTACAATAACACAGTTATAGAACTATCTTCCATGAAGACTTGGCCAACAGAAACCCTTAGTTTGGTTTAACATAAAATTCATATCTTATGTGTGAATTAACTGACCAGGGGTTGTAAGAGTTTTCTTTTATGTTCCAGGCTGCATGGTCAGGCTTTTGGGCCTGTATC